TGCGCAAGGAGTGGTAGAGACTCTTTTGCTGCGTACGCCATGTCAAAAAGAGGGCAATATCTTAGTGTAAGTCATCAACCTTACGCGTGCGCTGGAAACATAGACTAACTTTCACAGATGCTGAAATGCACTGGCGTCTTACAGCCCGAACAGACCGTGTATAATCCAAGAGCGGAAGGACAAGAGATGTGGGAGAGGTGGAAAGAGCAAGAGCAGCGTAATCGGTGAGAAACATCTCACACTACACGTCGAAATCTTACTGACATTTCTAGCCACGCATATGCTTGGGTCTACGTAGACCTTGAGATCAGTTTGTTGCACGACCTACCACCAATACTCTCGATCAACGATCTGCAAGTGCCCTTACCTCAAGATAACGAAATGTGGCACGCCAGCTCATACAATGAGTGGCTCGAGCGTTCTGGGGCCAACGGGAATAAACCAGGACCCTGCAATGCCGCAAAATTTGGTGCCTGGCTTGAGAAACAGAGTTCTATTGGACCCCGTTCTGGGCACACAACTCCATCTCTCAACGGCCTCTTTCGAAGTTTCCTCCAGGGTCGGCTGGTAGTCGCTGATGACGTGCCCTTACACCACCTTCGTCTGCTTCTTCACCCCATACTGGCCATGGTCCTCGAGCAACAGCAACTTCTGCGCATTTTCGATGCCGATGAACCTTCAAACCGATACCGGGTGCTTTCCAAGATTAAGATCCTGGGTCGCTTGCAGGAGACGCAAGATTTGCTCCAAGATCTGGCAACGCTTCTCTCGCGGTCAAAAGCTTCTTCCAGCAAGGAAGATGAGGGTGAAGTAACCCCCACCGACTGTGTCAGCATGATAATGCTCCATCTGGTTAGCCTGAACGTGTTCACCAGCATCCCCGAGATTGAGAAATGCGCCAAGGAAGAGCCGCCCATGTCAGACACGGCCCGTGCGGACATGTGGCGGTGGTCACGTCATCCCGAAGGAGAGAGATACGTCCTATTCCATGCTGGTCAAATCTTCAGATTGATCGACAGATCGTCCGTGGACGCACGGCCAACCTGGTGGCCGGTAGCTTTGTATCGTGCGGCCATGTCTTGCTGGTCTCTCCGATCTTGGGACCGAACCTCCTCATCGGCGGCGGTGGAGTGTGGTATTGACGCCCTATTGCCCTCGGAGGAAGAGTGCTTTCTCAACACTACTACTGGTACACCCGTTGTCACGCTTGACGACAAGAGACGGTTACCAATCCTGGAAGGTAACAACAGCTTGCAGTACTGTATCAGCAAGCTGGAGTGTTACCCTACACATTGTTCACGAAATGTTACTGAGAAGGCTCGCTACTTCTTGACTAGATGGAGTTGATGGGATTGATGATCACGACAATGAGGCGCAGGCGTCCAAAAGCAGGTATGGGATATCGATAGAACAGAATTGTCAGGAAAATCACATGGCTGCCGTTGACGAAGAAGCTTGTCTCGTCTTGGCCGTGCCTTTGCAACAACAGAATACCCCGATGAGTTTCACCGCGATCACGTCCACACTTCAACAAGATTCAAGTCAATGTGTACTTCAACGTCCCTCTCACGTATGATACAGCGCGTAGAACATCCAGATTCATTGGGTTGACGAATGACAGCCTTCCACATTATCTAAGTGCCACTACTCCACCTACCAGTGCATCAAGCGAGGAAGAGTCATAACCTCAAACTAAGCTTCACAAATTCTGAGTAATACCAGGGCTTGCCTTCTCCAATATCCCGGCCAGCTCATCCCAAACCCTCTTCCCCAGCTCCGCACCTTCTTGACTCCTCGCCAGCGGCGACGGCTCCTCCACATGATCATCCAGGATGTATTCGCCCTGGCTCTCCGGTAACGCAGTCGCATTGACCAGCAACCGACTGCCCACCTCGACCTGTCGTCCCAAGACCTTCTTGAACACCACAGGCGCCATACCCATATCCTTGACCAAATCCGACTTGCAAAGACCAGGCGTTACGCAGTTGATAACAACGGGTTCCTTTTTCTTGTCCTTGATGATGACTTGGGTCAAGTGCCGAACGAGGAGAATCTGCATGAGCTTGGAGACGTTGTAGCGGTCTGCCATATCTGCTTTCTTCTCGTCGTCCAGCTCGGCGAAGATGCTGTCTGCCTTCTTTTGTGGGAACTGCGTCCAGTGGTGGACTTCGGAGGTGACGATGGTGAGATATGGCTTCGTCTTGTGTATTTCCGCTGTTCTCCGCAGAACGGGAAGTAGGAGCACCGCAAGCATGAAGGTAGAAATGACATTGACGGCAATGTGCGCTTCGTGTCCCTCAATTCTCTCAAACTTGCCCTGTGCGATTCCCGCATTTTCCAACACAATGTCAATGCAAGGCAGCGTCTCGCATTTCTTCGCAAACGCCTTCACGCTAGCGTACGATGAAAGATCCAGTTCCCAGACTTGGAGTACGCCGGTGCGTTTCGTCGTGGCTTCGATGTCGCGCTGGGCGGCTTCGCCCTTGGAGCGCGTGCGGCATGCAATGATGACAGTGGTCGCGCCGCAGCGTACAAAGTGCCGTGTTGCTTCTAGGCCGAGCCCGCTGTTGGCGCCTGTTACGATGACGGTCTTGCCGGTGAAGGTCTCCGGCTGAGGCACCTTGGGCGTGTAGAGAAGCTGCGACTTCAGGAAGGCAGGGAATGAGGACATGATTGGTGAATGTCGCGTTGACGCAGCTATACCACGAAGGGGAAATGCTTGGTGGAGGGTAGAGTGGAGTGGTAGGAAGTGAGGTGAGGTGAGGTTGATAGTCTTTCGTCTTTCGCGCGCGTAGTTCAAGTCAGGCCGGCAGTCTCGACGCTCTGAAGGTTGATATGAAGAGGAGATACGAAGGCAGAAGTAAGCGCTTCACCCTCCCACAAAGATCACTGACGTCAAAGAACGCACAAGAACGGCGCGCGCACGACAGGAATTAGTCATCTCGGTGTCCGGTGTTGCGCGACGAACAGCGCACTCCTACCTTCGTCGTTGGCGAAAGTTCCTTCGAAGGATGCGTGGGCAGCGTTTGTTTGTAAACTTTGTACGGAACTCCGGACTAGCGCGTTGTGTCGGGTCATAGCGACCTTGGACATGTCGAATCAGGCCTCCCATCATTTTGGAATTAAGGTTTTTGCTCGCCAATTACTCAGCTTAGAACGGCCCGACTACGGTTTCAGCTTCAGCGCAGTCTTTATCCGCGTCCGTGTGAAGGAGCAGCCTTGTGGCGGTTGGGCTTGGTAACGCGGTTCACCGGCTTAGCAGGAACTCGGACGTGCGATAGTAGTACTTTTGCTTACTTGTTGCAGAATCTACGAGCTGAAAATCCGAGGTTTATAGGTGCCGATGGTTGGAGAGCCGGCGTAGGAGGTGCGATGAGTAGGAAACGAGGTGCGTGGGTGGAGTTCGGTGATGTTTGCGGAGGAAAAGCGATGGGTGTTAGTGGAGATACATAGAGAAGGTGCGATGAAGATATAAGCATATACTGCATCTCTCTCACACCGACGCCAGCATCATCAAAGAGCTAGCTCTCGTCTCTCATCGTCTTCTCATAAACCACTTTCTGCCATTCGCATCCCCAAATCTTGCAACCTGCATCCAAGATGCTGTCCTTTGCCCACCTCCAATTCGGCACCCTCCTCCAAGCTACCTTTCTCCTCGGCATGAACACAGCCCTATCCACCATCTCCATTCCCTCCATTCTTGAGTCTCCCTCTCCCATCCTCGCAATCCGGCAATGGCACTACCAGTTCCGCGCCGCGCAAGTCCCCGCTACTTCGCTCTCGGCATCTAACCTCATTCTATCCGCCATTATGACATATAACTCCTCCACTAAGCAGGGTTTTACGGGGAAGACCACCATTATCTACGGCGTTAGCAGCGTGTTGGCGTTCCTGATCTTCCCATTCACACTTCACTACATGAACCCGGTGAATGACGTGTTGATTGAGAAGTTCAGAGCGCAGAAAGATTTGCATTACGCGGATCTACCAGAGAAGGGCAGGGGAATGCAGACTGCGAGGGTGAGTTTCATATATCTTCCGTGTTGCTTATCTACTCGAGATGCAAGAGATGCTAACGCCGTATCGTAGGATCACGACAAGATCGCCTACTGGGGCTACTTGAACCGTGTGAGAATTGTGCTTTATGCTGGTTTCGTGGCTTGCAATGCTGCTGCTATTCTGGTCTAGAGACAAGCACACGGAGGAAGATGATTGGGGGCGGGTAATGCCGAGTGAGCTGGTATTGATTTGGCGGGTATGTTTCGGCAGCCAGATGCAGGCGTGTTGAGGTGGCGATACGAAGGCGAGAGCACATCAACGAGCTCTGCGTTGAAGATGCGGAATATTCTAAAGACATCAAAGGTAGTGGGATGATTGGCGTGGCTATTAGCTGGCAACGTATCGAGTTTGCGCAGATGAAATGTCCGATTCCTTTCCCGAGCATCGAGTATTGTAGTGAGCATGGTATACATTCATGTCAATGTCAATGGACCGCGTAGGACGTGTCGCCTCCAGAGACATTCATGCCGCTTTTCTCTACATTCTCATCACGAATTGTCTCTTTCTTCTCGTCTACAGCCGTAACAAAAGTGACTAGTGCTTGATCTGAACTTTCGGTCGTTGATACATCTTCTCGGGCTTCGATATACGTTGTTTTGCCTTCCGCCTTCAGTTCTCACCAAGAGAACTACTGTAGGCTTCGGATGTTCGGCGGGTTTGTTTGATAGGAGGCAGCGGTTGTTCATGCTGTTCAAATAAAGTGGCCTCCCATAAATCGGCGGCTGTCAGTTCGACTCACGTGCCGAACCTTTTCATCGCATCACGGAGCTTCGATATTCAGTCGTTGCAAGACACGTGCTGATGATTAAGAAACGATGGATACGAGTTTTGATAGAACCATAGATTATATACAACTCGATGGGACTGAGAAAACTGACGAGGCCGAGAACCAAGCTGAGAATGACAATAGCACCTAGCCCTAACTGTGGCGCAATAGAAGGTCATGCAAAAGAGTTGAAGTGGTTAAACAAACCCTTCGGGTCATATCTCTTCTTCAGCAGCCTCAGCCTTGGAAGTTTCGTCGCACCATAGACTTGCTCCGGCTTCTCGTCGCCACGTGCGTAGTTGGGAAACACATTGCCATCGGGGTTTCCGCATGCTGACATCAACTCGGTGCGAATCTTCGCGGTGAACGTGTCAACGGCGCTGGTTTGCTCCGCAGTGACGTTGCCAGGTAGGTAAAACGCAAAGAAGCCGTAGGCCACAGTTTTGCGCCAAGCGTAGGCTGTAGAATCATCGTCGATACTCGCCGTTACGCCCAGGCCAAATTTCTCTATAATCCAGTTGGTATTTTCTATTGCCGGGTTGGCACGGAGGAAGTTCATGTACTTCGTGAATGTGTCGACCAGCGCAGGTACAGTGAGGTTGTTGAGCTGAAACCCCCACATGTCCGCCCCAACACCCTTTCGCTGAGCGAATATATCGCCGCAAAAGTTGGCCACGCTTACTAGTCGGTTGTAGGGAACGACTGAAATGTTGCTGTAATATGGCTTTTGGTTGATGAACGACTTGATCGCGGCGTCGCCCTGCTGCTTGTTGCCGTAGTAAATGGCGGAAACATCGATTGTTGGCTTGACAATGTGTTAATGGAGGTCAAGCATCCGACCAGACGTGGCTAGCACTTACGACATTGTTCTTGATGGAGGATCCAATCGTCAATGCCAGCTTATCATCTTGCTTGCCCTGGTAAGTCTGGAAGATTTCAAATATCGTGGCGTTCTTCTCGGCTTCAAACGACATGTCTGCATTGTAAACCATGCCATCATTGATTGTATCGTAGATGCGATAGGTCGCTGATGTGACCACACCGAAGTTGAAGCCCGCGCCACGCATGCCCCAGAAGAGGTCAGAGTTCTCAGTAGCCGACGCCGTTAGAATCTCGCCCGATCCGGTGACCATTTCCACGGAGAGTAGAGAGTCGATCAGGAGTCCGTGTTCACCAGTCAAAGGTCCTACACCCCCACCCAACGTGAGGCCAATGATGCTTGGCGGAGAAGTCCCACCAGAAGCTGAGGGCTTTGTCAGTAATCTAGGATGCCGACTATGTCGGAGACTTACGCATCATCTTGCCGGCCGCATACAGCGGATCGAACATATCATGAAACGTAGAACCGGCTCCAACGACCATGGTGTTGGTGGATGCGTCGACTTTAATCTTCTTGAAGTTGCGCAGGTCAACGTCGAGCGCATTGTGTAGGCCAGAAAGCGTCGTCGAGTACCCGTGGCCACCTCCAGTTGCTAAAAGAGGGACCTTGTTCTTGGTTGCATACCGCAAGATCGTCTGTACATCTCTCGCTGTAGCGGGTTTGGCAGCAACGGCATAGGTTGGCTCGGCCTTATCATAGATGCTCCATCGTTGCGTGAATTCAGTCGGATAAGAAGAATAGGTGGTGAGAATGACGTGTGATCTATTAGAAAGATTGGAGGACAAGTCGGTCTCGATCTGCTGTGTAGTGACGGCAACCACCTGTCGTGCAAGAACAGATGTGACTAGCACGAATGATGCCAAGATATCCATAACGAAGGGACGATGCAGCTAAACGCTAGCAATGCAATGCATGTACAACAAGGATGAGGGAAGCAATGAATGTATCACGAGAAAACGTGGTCCTTCCGGTTTATAAGCCCTTGGAACCTAGCTCGGGCCTTGCTTCGGGTCATATTCAGACGATGGCAATTGAAAGCATTGGGAGTGAAGGGCCACGTCTCAGCGGCAAAGCCTCATCGACCCCAAATGCGTACAATGCAGCGCGAAGAGCGGCCGTCTGAAATTCTCGAGCCGTAATCTAGCTGAACGCTTCAGCCACTGTTAGTACTTAGGACCTAGATCCCAAACTAACTTCATGTCCCATGTACTGTTCACGCAAGCGGCTGCTTCCAGCGCCAGCAGAGTGGGTACCGGGTCAGCCTTCAGAGCGCAACACAGCTGCCATCTGCATCGCGTCTTCCCTCATCCCTGGTTATATTGAGACATGAAGATGCGCTCTACGCGAATCAACGTCTGTGGACGCTGAGGGTACTGCGGAGGTCCGTGACGACGGGACGGGATCGCGTTGTCAACGTCGGTTTCGCGCTCGGCGATTTTGAGCTTATTGTCTAGCGGACTCCCGCGGCGAACTATTCGTAGCAGGTATGGATTTCGTGCCAGTGTGTGACCGGGGGAGAGCGGATTCAGAGGCGAGAAAGTCGCTGTCTAGGCTGAGACATGAGGCGTCGTGGTGGGTGGGAACAGATGGGATGGAAGACCCTCAGGCTGCGATGGTTGGAGTTTGCCAAGACCTTTAGCAGGAGCGCACGTGGCAGCCCACTTCACCCAGCTCCGGACTGGCAAGTGGAACCATGCTCTTCATCACCCCACCGCCACGCCGGTCCTGAGACGATGCTGAAAACACGATAGGACTCTCACTGTAATACGGCTCTCCACCTGTACAATGCCATCCGATCGGTGGTCGGCGGTCGCAGTACCGTTCCCAAGAGGAATTGAGCTTCGGGATGATGCCTGCGCGTTGTGTATCGAGCAAGCCACAGTATACTGATGGTGTTCGCGAGACATGACACCGAGACAGGTCCGAGGGGATGAGTGCAATGAAAATATGCCAGTACGGAGTTGAGGCGATAGTAGAGTTGGCCTGAAAACCATGAGGGCTGTAGTTATAAGCCCGGTGGACTGGCCCAAGGTTGGTACCAGTTCGACATACCATTCAGCTGTCTTTCGTTGACTCTAGCAATCATGATTGACATGGGAGTTCAACCGCTCTCGCAAGCCATGCTTTCTCTCTTCGTTCCCAGCATCGCCATCAGTGTCATCGGTGCTTTTCTTCTAGCCGTTGTTCGTCTGTTCAGGCCGAAAAAGCCCAAGTACAAGCCGTTGCCGGGCCCCAAAGGTCAGTATTCATTGTCTGAAGAAAAGGTACTTGCTGACAGTGCTATAAAGGTCTACCATGGATCGGTCCTTTCCACAAGTTCCCTTCTAAGGATGTGTACAAGAAGTTTGCTGAATGGGTAAGGTCCCCATGGACGCTTCTGACGATGTAACTGAATGATAATAGCACGAAGAATATGGTCCGATCTACCAGTTCACTCTCTTCGGCGTTAAACATATCCGTGTCAACAGCGAGAAGGTGTGTCAGGATCTTCTCGCAAGGCGTGGAGCATACTATTCCAATCGCGCGCCCACACCCAACATCCCAGGCGCCAAAACTGATGCAGAATATCTTCCTCTCTTAGACAACAATGGTGAGTATCTATCGATTCATCTTCGGATGTCGCTGACTGATTATGCAGCGGCACTTACAAGACACCGTAAATTCGCTCACCAATGCCTGTCCGAGACCTACAATTACGACATGTTCGGCTTCACGCACCTCGAGATCACGCGGATGATGGTTTCGCTGATGAAAGACAACCGCAACTATCCCGATCTCGCCGAAGAGTTCACCCATCGTGTGAGCGCGCGCCTCGCCTGGGAAGACCCCAAGCTAAGTCGTGGGTTGAACCGAAGCTCGGCTGGCCTTCTCGCTGCCATATCCCCAGCAGGGAAGCTACCGAACAGGTTTCCAGTCGTTCAGAAGTTACCTAACTTGATCAACCCTTGGTATTGGCAGGAGAAGGCGCGCCATGATGCTCAGAAGGAATTCTGGGTTGGGGCCATGCAATCCGTCAAAGCCAAGATGGACGCTGGTGTTCCCGGTCATTCCTGGTCTCGCACGTTCTTCAAGGACAAGGAGCGCTTGAAGTTCCCCGATGGCGTCCCGGACGAGAAGGAGGGTGCTTTCGCGATAGGCATGCTTGCTATCACAGCATCACTACCCATGTCTTCGCCGATTCAGACGTACTACCTCGCTATGTGTCATTACCCCCATTGGCAAAAGCGACTACAAGATGAGATCGATGAGGTTTGCGGCCCCGACCGTCTACCCACATGGGCCGACGCCCCGAAGCTTCCGGTACTGAGAGCGATCGGCAAAGAGCTGATCCGCTGGAGGCCGCCAGTTCCGACGGGTGTTCCCCACGAAGCTGAGAGAGATGATGAATACGATGGATACTTCATCCCGAAGGGTGCGCTTATCCATGCTACCGAGTGGGCGCGTCGGAGTGACGAATCCCTATACCCCAACCCAGAAGAGTTCAATCCAGATCGCTATCTGAACCCGAGATACCCCACTTACAAGGAGCCTCTGACGAAGTATCCCAACGTCATCAACCACCACGTCTTTGGTTATGGTCGTCGCAATTGCTTGGGTATGGAGATTGTAGACTACCAGCTGGTCACAATCATGGGCTCTTTGGCCTGGGCATTCAATGTCACCAAGAAGAAGAACAAAATTGGTATTGGTACGTATCCCGCTTTTTGGCGTCTCGTTCTCATGCTGACATAATAACAGATATACCAATTCACACAGAAGATTGGACAGACTTGCTCATTACTCGGCCGGAGGTGTTCGTCTTCGACATCAAACCAAGAGATGCACACAAAGAGAAGAAGCTTGTAGCCATGTATGAGGAGGCTTTGGTGGAACATCCTGATCTTGCTATCTGAACAGCTCTTCATCCGAAGACCTTGGTGGTCTCGTACACCACTCCTTAACTATCCACCATGCCGTTACGTCTCTTCCCCTTCTTGCTACAGTGTTTTTCGTTAGTTTCGCTCCTTGCGTACCAAGTATAACATTTTGTCTATCCTACAATATTGGCCCGCATTTTCTCGTGCTAGTGTCTAATGAAAGATCGTGCGCGTTGCCCACGACATGTCTACGCTTTGTGAGAGCCTGGTTCTTCGTCACTCCTACTCAATCTCCATATGCTTACTACTCCGTCGGAGCATGCGCCAAATTCCTTATGTACGGACAACAAGACGTGGAATAGCATGTACCCTACTGATAACACTAAGAATGGTACACCGTTCATCAAGTCAATTTGTTGCACAGATATGCGCGTTCAATTTGCTATCAACCGACCCCAACCATCGCCTACCGGCAAGGGCTTTAGTCTTTGATGATTCATCCTGATATCAAGTTGATGATGCTGGCACATTGCCACTCATCATGTCTATACTAGCTCTCGACTAAAAGTGTCAAATCAACACCCCAACATCCGTGTATACTGCGATCTTAATGTTCACTTTCATCAAAAGCGCCCCAAGCATGTCATCGTTTCCTACAAGTGCATTGGTTACGCCACCGGCGTGTCGCGTCGAAAGCACGCGTCTCCAACCACCGCCAACATGAACAGGACGTCCGCGAAACTTCGATGCGATCGCCATAGCTGACTGAAGACATGCGCAACCCCGATGCAGTAGCTAGCAATGAGTTGAGCGATGCTGACAAAACACCGAGGCCTTTGGTTGTGGAAGTCACGCTTGTCCGCTAGCGCCGACGGAACTCCGTGCAAGAACGGAAGCGACCAAGGAGGTCCTCCCCCAACGCAGACCAAATACTCCTCGCATGAAGATGATTTTCGTCCGTCCTCGCACTTCGGGACTGGGGCCGTTTAGGGTGTCCATGATGCTGCGGCATCGTTGAGACTACAATTTGGCTAATGACCTGCGACGTGAAGTAGCAGTAGTACAACCATCAAGCACCGTCGTCTCTGTTTCCTTCATACCATCTGCGAAAATCTTGTAAACATGAAGGAAGATGTTCTTAGACGCCCAGACGAGGAGAAAGATCTCCATTCCACGGAAGGATCGCTGAACACAGGGTCGCTGAATACAGGGGAGGAGAAAGAAGAGCTAGCGCATATCCAGTTGACGAAAGGACGGTTCGTACTTGTACTTGTAGGACTGGTCTTGGCTATTTTCCTCGTAAGCAACATCTCCACACATGAACACAAAAGCAGTAGCTAACGCATCGTTGCAGGCTTCCCTCGACTTTGTAAGTGTGGACGAACAACTTCTCTTCTCTGACCCTTTCCAGCGAAGCCTAATCCGAATCGTAGACCATCATTTCAACAGCCATCCCTAAGATCACCGATGAGTTCAAGAGTCTCCAAGATATCGGCTGGTATGGCTCAGCTTTCTTCATCACCACCGCTGCGACTACAGCATTCTGGGGACGACTGTACACTTTCTTTCCGTTGAAGTGGACGTACCTCATCTCCATCTTCTTCTTCGAGTTGGGTAGTGTGATCTGCGGTAAGTCCACATTAGTTGATCTTGACATCAACACCATGCTAATGAGTTACGTCAATAGGTGCCGCACCCAGCTCCGTAGCCTTGATCATCGGTCGCGCGATATGCGGTGTTGGTGCAGCTGGGCTGTTCTCCGGATCGTATACCATCATTGCTGTCTTGGTACCCTCAGCCGATCGACCTAAGTACAGTGGGTTGATGGGTGCAGCATATGGTCTCGCCAGTGTCGTTGGCCCATTGATCGGTGGTGCTTTCACTAGCCATGTCTCATGGCGCTGGTGGTACGTTGGGCCTTATCGCAAAAGCCTTTGGAGGCTCTCGCTAACAGCTCCACAGCTTCTACATCAACCTTCCCGTCGGTGGTGTATCGTGCCTCTTCATCCTCCTCTTCTTCGCGAACGAACCACCCAAAACTCGCCCTGACTGGCGTGGCATGCTTCGCACACTCGATGTGCCCGGTCTAATCCTCATTATCGGCGCAATCGTTTGCTTCATCCTCGCGCTGCAATGGGGAGGCATCTCGAAGGCTTGGAACAGTGGTGCCGTGATTGGCACCCTGGTGGCCTTCGTCGTATTGATGGCTTTGTTCGTGGTTGATCAGTGGTGGCTGGGTGAGAACGCCATGGTTCACAGCTTGATCATTCAGAGGAGAACTATCTGGGTCGGATCGATGTTCTCGTTCTTGATCAACTCTGCCTTCTTGGTCACGTTCTACTATTTGCCGATTTACTTCCGTAAGTTCGCTGAGCTACACATCATGTCGACCTTGACTAACGATCACTAGAATCCGTACAAGGCGTCTCGGCAGCCTCGAGTGGTGTTCGCACTGTACCCTTCATTCTCGCAGTCAGTGAGTAGACAATCAACGTCCATTCTCTCCTTCAAATGCTTACATTGTTTGCAGCCATCTGCGTCGTGATCGTTGGCCAGATCATCACAAAGACCGGCTACGCATATCCATGGATGATTGGAGGAGCGGCCATCACGACCATCGGTGCCGGCATGATCTACACGTTCGATATCGATTCACCCGCGAAAGTCTGGATTGGTTACCAGATTCTTTGCGGTATCGGTATCGGAGTGAGCTTCCAAGTCCCTGTCATGCTCATCCAGGCGACCACTAAGGAAGTCGACGTGCCATTGGCCACAGCCACACTTCTTTGTAAGCGCAGTCCGTATCGTCGCTCCCATTGACACATTACTAACGAGCGGTTTAGTCATCCAAACCCTCGGCGGCGCTTTCGGTGTCTCGTCTGCCCAAGCTGCCTTCCAGAACACGCTCCTAAAGCAGCTGCCCATCACAGCTCCAGGCCTCGACCCCCAGATTGTCCTGGACGCCGGTGCTTCCGAGCTCAAGACTCTGATTCCAGCGCAGTTCCTCGAGGGGGTACTTGAGGCCTACGTAGCCGGTTTCCGGGAGTGTCTGATAGTTGGTATTGCATTCGGTGGCGCCGCTTTCCTTGCCGCTTTTGGGTTCCGCTACACAAACATCAAGAGGACGGCTGCGTTGGAGGCGTAGAAGGAGAGTATGTTCAGGACTAAGTTGGGGAGAGCCGTTCTTTTTAATATAAATGATACCTCAAAACGGTTGTCAGTGGCATTGTACTAGATTGTAATTAGCGTATCGACGGTTATGTGTGCTTGCACAAGGCCAAATGTACTCTAGACACGAACGTCCGCCACGTCAACAGTTTCCATATCAACTTGCGGGATGCATATATATGCGAGGCCTCCTGCAGGGCGCATAGCCAATGGTGACAGGGCTTTATACAGGCCCACCAAAGGCATTCCACTGACCGAGAGCACCCCAATCATCCGCAGCGTCACTGAAGTTTCCATTTCCATTCCCATTCATACCAAGTGACATTCCCATGCCAGGGAATTCCATGCCTCCTTCAAAACCATCCAACCCAGCGCCAGAGAATATGTCCAGATCCAGGTCAAGCCCAAGCTGAGCACTCGCTGGGGTAATCTCTTCCGCGGGCCGGGTGTCCAAGACTGTGTCAATGACCTTGGTGAAAATCTTGCTCGCCTTGCGAAAGAGGTTGTAGTTGGCTTCGCCGTGCCTAGCTCCAGAGTTTTCCATGTGTGCGGCTGAATCAAGATGTGATATGAGCACGCTGAGCATGCGAATGATCTCCGCGCGGGATATTTCAGCGGGGAATTGCTGGCCTGTTCGGTGTTGTTCGCGCAAAGCTGTCGCAAGTACCGACGCCGCGGGTACACCAAATAGCAGTAGGGCGTTGAGCATGTCGCGTTGAACGTCGTATGACCGATCGCGGATTCTACCCAAGGTAAGTGTGTTGCAAAGAAGATCAACAGAGACGCGCAGTAGGGCAGTGTTGAGCGTCAATGGGCTGTAATCGAGCAGCTTTTGGATCATGAACTCGTTGTACCAATGCGTGAGGTGTATGATGGACAGCATCAGACAGATTACCGTGGGAACATCGTCTTCCCAACAGGTCTTCCAGTATCGCATATGTTTGGGTAGCGTCTCCCAGGAAGTGCGTACACGCTCGGATATATCTCTACAGACTTGTTAGTAGAAGTCAAAGTCGGGTCATCATAGCATGCGTACAGTAGCTGAGCTTCCGCGTTTGCGTCTATCTTGACGAGCGAGAATTCCAGGATTTCTTCGCGACTTCGCAGGGATATATGACGTAAACGCTAATGTACGTTAGCTGAGGGAACGAAACCAGCCTAGGTGCAAGACTTACGATCCAAGACGCTCTCAACCATCTGCCTTTGGTATTCCAACCGTCCTCGTCCAACGCCGCGATGGCAGATTCCAAGGTCGCCTGGTCACCGGTGACTTCATTATCGGCCAGGTCCAGTGGAAGCTCGATGTCAGTGTGTCTCTTGCTGATACGTATCGGACGGCCAAGGAAGGTGGATATCGACTTGTCCTGGTTGTATGCTGAACAGAAAACCCTACGGCGTGTTTCCGTCAACCATTTCGGAGCATGAGCGCACTTCTTCTCTTGATGTATACCCAGTGCATATATCTGTGTCGACAGTTCGCCTATCCGTCGCCAGCTGGGTGGGCCTTGGTAGCCGCAGATCATGATTGTAAATAGGTAGTTTTCGTAATACATCCAGATCGTTATGTCGTTGACTGTCGCAAGCATCGTCGTGAGAAAAAGACAGGTCGTACTCGCGCGAAGTAGCTCATCGGCAAAGTGTAACTTCATGTCCTTGTTGGCAGGATCACTGAAGATATCCGGAACGAAGCCAAACGTTAGCGATCGCCCGGCCGTCGCGAGGAGAAAGCCGATAGTTTCGAATCGTAAATTATCACCGGAACACAAGATGTGAAAGTCGTGTGCCTCCATTGACTGTGATACTGTGAAAGGGCGTGCAGTCGTCTCGAGTACTTGGCTTATCAGTAGAGAACTGGGTTTCTTCCGCCGAAGGTCATGCTTGTCAACAACAGCTTCTAACGCATTCACGGCGTCGACCTGAACCTGGGCAGGTATCACACCTGCTTCATTTGTTGCATTATACCATAGAACGAGCTCTTTGATAGCGTTGTAATGGCGAAGAGTGCTCAAAACATCACAAGCCATCTGGTATCGCATGGACTTGGACAGGGTGTGCTGGTGTGTAAGTTCGCGATCTGATCGTTCCGATGCAACAGACTCCTCGCGTTCACGCATCTGACCGGGTTCTTCATCCTGAGGAAGAAGTACAGCGTATGATCCAGGCCCGAGGAACCCAGGGTGATATACATCAGCAGCAACGGCATCCGCAAGTTTGTCACCATGCGACGGAGATGCTGGGGCAAAAGCGGCAACAGCATCCGAAGCCTGCTTCGAGGGTCGTCTGCTTGAGTCAAAATACTGACGTGAATGTAGTTCCAGATGTATGCATACTTTCTTTTGGGAGGGCGGGCTTCACCTGTTCCTGACTCATCAGCACTCTGACGCTGTCTGGTGAGAGGTGCTGGGTGGTAGAAGCAGCGGTCTTCAATACCACGTTGACGACATCGATCACACTTTGGATGGCCATGATCACACTTGGTTTTGTTCAGCCGGCATGGTTCGCAGGATGCTGGCTTGCCATTGCGCCTACTGCTGCCGGCGTCCCTGTTGGTTGGTTAGCAAATGGATAGTTGTAGACTCAGCGCGTATATTACATATCGATAACTGCACCAGTGTGTGCACGGGAGGATTCTCAATTCATGTGTGTGTGACATAATCTCGGAAACACGCGTCGGTGAGTTCGTCATGTCTGTGGTTGGGCGCAGGCGAGATTGTGACGCGGGTTGCCTAAGCGCGAGGTGTGTTATCGATAAGCGACGCGTGCAGCCCGTGACGCCCTCTCCTCCCGAGGTCCTTCACTGCCACCACGCATCCATCGCTACGCGCCGGCACACATGCATGATCATGTCAGCCAAAACTCAGCCTCCGCCTGGTCGAAAGGGGCAATGCCATCCTGATGGGCTATCCCCTTGCGATGCACAGCCTCATGGACAGCCTGCCAGCCTCCACATGAAAACCCTTCTCTTTGCGCATTCAGCGATCTATTGCCTTCACTCTGCCATAGGAATTGAGGCTTACGGGTTGCCCAATATACACAATGGGCATGTTTCTAGGGCCTCCCCCACCTGATCTCCTCCGAATACGTCTCGCGCACGCCTTGGGCTTCCCGAATTACCCCAACGACGACACCGTCGAACCGTACATCAACTACCTTCTGAACCAGCACGATGCTCGTGGTACTCCAGAATACGAAGATCTTCTCATAACCATAGTACAATACTTCAATGGCCCTCAGCCCCTTGGGTCAATGAAGAGGAGTATTGAAGGGCTGCTACACTCGCTATCCAACCACCCGAACACACAATGGCACGAAGAGGACACGGTAGTGCGCGCTATTGGCAGCTGCACACTGTTACTGAGCTCGTTCACCGATCTACCAACTGTAGCCGGTAAGCTCCGAATGGTGACGGCAAGCTACAATCTGCGCATGCACGGAAGCCTGCTGGGTGGCCAGCCATACTTCGAGAGCTTGGCAGAATTGGTAGCGGGCAGCGGCTTGCTACCAGCGCCTGTTGCATTCGCCTCTGTGGTGACCATGGCAGATTTAGAGTCCTTGGAGTCGCTCTTTGTTGACGCCACCCACCTCAACGCGTACAGATTGACTGTGTTCGGAGCAGTGGAAATCACCTGGACTCACAACATCTCCCGGCACCTCCTGCTATCGAACCGCAACGGACGTCGCATACTTGAGATCTTCGCGCTACCATGCGCCTTAGATGCCGCTCCCCTTAGGATGGTTGGTGTTGGTAATGAGCTGGCGCAAGAGGTCATGGAGTCATACAGCTTGCTATTCAACGCCTGGCCCTCATTGGGTCCTCATGCTAAGCTTGGTTTATGGGTACGTGTTTCTCTACGAACTGCATATGAAGCATACACTGACTTGGTATACCTATATACAGCGGCGATGTTGCCCATGTCAGCCATGTTCTGCTCGACGATACCGCAATCGCGCGATCAGCGATTACCAAGCCTTTAGTCGACTTCAACGTAGCAGCGAATACGACCCTAAGCTTCCTCACCTCATGAGCGCCATAAATCAGCAGCCGATCGCATGGACACCTGGCATATTCCCTCATCTCTGGTCTCGAATCATGATCCTAGATGAGCATCTGCAGCAGGCGAAGCCATGGAGCATTTGGGTCTTGTTCCGTAACCGTAACGATACCTTGCAATTCTGGACGTTCTTGTGAGATACTCACTACTGTTGCACCTCATAAAACTGACAACATCAGGTTCGCTACGATCGTGGTCTTCATGACCGCTGTTCAGGTTTTGCTTGGCGTCGCACAAGTCGTGGGGTCGTTCCGCTGATGAACGACATCGGAAGCATTCAGCCTCGTATCACGGGCGGCTAGCCCCCACCCGCAGGTATTGCGAAGATCCATGGTGCGCGTTCGCTTATGCGCCTGCCTGACTGGTCGCGACGGAGAACACTATGATTGTGCAGCTGGCTTGTCTCCAGCCTTTGATGCTGTTGCGAAAACCGGATCTGACACGCTGTGTTCTAAAGGTACTTCTTAACATGGATGGAGCTTACTTGCTACGATGCCTTTCTCCCCGATCCTTTACCGCCTATAACTTGTGTCGTATCTTTCAGCCACACGAGCAAGATGCAGCTGTCGCCTGAAGCCCAAGGCTATCGCCAGCATATACTCAACTACGCTGCACGTTCATATACTCGCACGCTTTTCTATGGCTATCATTACAGATTTCTCGCTGAGCTGCTCCGAGCTGATGAGGCACATCTACCCAAGCAATACAGTGACCTTGAAGCGTATCATCTTGGCCATTTGTCTGTGTATGGGCCGCCTTGTCATGGCTCTGAGCAGTATCAACGCCATAGTTACAAATATTCTCAGTTACAGGACCTAGTCGCAGCTCCGCCTCCGAGCAAAGGGCAAGGACAGGTCCTTTTCCTCAATGGACATCTTCCAGGGTCTTGGATATGTGAAGTGGGCGCGAAATACAATATCGCTCCCGAGTTCTTTCGGCAGCATATCCATCTTTGGCGCTCGACTGACGGGCCTGTTCTTCACGCAATCACGAGAAGCCCATACGCCACTTCGAACAAAGGGCTCCTACTGCGTCTTAACACCCAGGGAAACTTTGGCAAGAACAAGCTGCCTGTAGACTCATTCAGTAGCTTGATCTTGCAAGCGCGACGAAGGCTTCTACCCGACGACGTTGAGTGGATGCCCAGACGTTTGGCCGCAGCTCCTGGCTGTTCATATGTAAGAGGCCATGCATATCTTAGCAACCTTCAATTTGTCATCGAGCAAGATGTGTCCATCACCGTTGAGTCAAATGGAGACGGCTGGACTGGTGAGCGACCTGTCAAACCTTGATTTCGTCACCGCTTACCATGTGTATCAGCAATCTTGTGGACAGATGTCGGAAGCAGAAATCTCTCTCATAGCCGCACTTACCATCATTTCGTCGAGTATATGGCGGCCAAGACAGAAACAGGACGCCGAGACATCCGTTTATTACCTGTACATTTGCTGGGACAGGAGTCGACGATCAAACATCCATGGCCGCTGCCCGTCCCCGATCTCGATATCACGCAAGACACCGATGGCTCGCTCTTCCAGACAGCGTCCCATCTACCATCAGAGCTCCACGTAATGCTTGATGATCACGAAATCGCAGGGCAAGATCCGCTATACGCACTCGCACCTATCCTCCTGTTCGCAGCTGCCTCAGAGATCCAGCTACTATCAACACTTCAAAAATGGTACGACATAATCGCATCGACGAAATGGGATCGGAAGTACTCAACCGAGCATCTGGAACAACTCATAATGCACAAACACCTCCTGGATGACCACGCAAGTCGACACGAAGAGGTTCTCCGATTCATCAGCTCGCCAAAGCTGGCTCGATGGGCAGCCAACCTCACACAAGACCAGAGCGATGTAGCCCAGGAAGCCAAAGACGCAGTCAAGGCCGACTTTGAATTCCTTCGATCGCGATGCCGCCAGCTCTCGCTGCACTATCAGGAAGCGATATCGATCCTAGTCAGTGCTACTTCTCTCGCGGAGTCGCAGAAACAGATCACGCTAGCCACCCAAGTTACGAAGCTCACTATACTTGCGACCATATTTCTTCCGCTTTCGTACTGCACTTCGATATTCGGCATGAACTTTGTCGAGTTGGAGCAGTTGAATATATGGATCTGGGTAGTCGTCACGGTGTCGGTTGGGATCGTCACTTTCGTTGTTTATCAGTGGGATGAGAGGCAAAGACTGTGTAATATTTGGATTACGATGAAGGCTAGGTTTCGTTTCATGCGCTGGCGACGCGATGACACGTTGACAGTATAAGTTCGAGAATCATAACGAAAGATTGCTATCAGACTATGTCGTACGTCTTAAGCTCGGCAGGAACCTCAAATGCTCCATAGAATGCCACTCTACCAACTTGTAGTCTCCTTTCGAGCGCCGGGCCTTCCATTTCAAAATTCTGCACGTGACCACTGCGCTGTACAAAGCTCTGAAAGCCCACGATACCCTGGCCTACAGTACCATCCTGTCGCACGCCCTCTGCATGGAGCGCGAGACCGCTGTAGCCTTGGGGCGGATCAAAGTCTGGATATACACGATACAAGAGCGCACGCGAGACGAGATCTTTCCATGTCGATATGTCGTGCTCTTTCAGACTCGTCGAGTCACCGGCTGCAGCTTTTTGGTTCAAGAAAATGCCTTCACCCACGACAAGGACGTCGGATGGACGACTGCCCCGGATGCTCTTCGCTGAACGCGTCCCCTTCGTGTCAGCTAGAATCTTGACCTTGGTTGTTTGTCGACGCAGCGCGGCCCAGGAATCGTGATTGAGCCACCCAAGGTTGGCCAACGGGGATGCAACATCCTTCACTGCTGTTGAAGATGTGGGTTTTATAAGCGTGATGTCATGATTGAAACCGTTAGGATAGATGTCCGCTTCTTCATCAAAGCTTTTATGTATCGTCCCAATCTGGAACATTTGTTAGCATGAGAGCCTTTCCACAACGAATCTTGAAGCCACACATGCCAGTGATTGACATATACAGTTTACGCACCTTCCCATTACCAGCCCAGATATCGGCGTACTTGTTCCAATCACGTTTCAGCTTCTGGGCGCGATCGGACTGGCTCCGACCAGAAACGTAATCCCGCATCGATTTCGCCATGATCGCCTCGGTGATTACATGCGTGGGCATCACCAAAAAAGGAGTGCTGTCTTTTACTACCTTGATACCGATGCGGCCGGAGTGCTTCGCTCGTTGATAGTTGGACAGTGGACGCGCTTCTATGGAGTCGTTGAGCTTGAGTGACGGGCTACTCGCTACAGACTGCACAGATAGCGCTGATGAGCGAGCTGGTCGGAGTAAACTCGATGCGCTGTATCCCGGCGTCGTATACGGAATTTTGGGTCGTGCGGTCTTCGTCGGACCTGATTGCATAGTAGGCTCGAAGGTTCGCTCAATATAACATACTTTGAGACCGCCATATTTGTGCGGAAAGTGTAGTGAAGCCCAGGCTGTATCGAAGTGCGCTGGCACTACGACCTGCAGAAGACCATCAATCAGTACGTAGAATCCGATGCTTCCATAAAAGGTGAGGAAGATATCTCTGGCAAGTTCCAAAGCTATTGGGGCACGACAATCGATCGGTGCTGCTGGTCGAGGGTCCGGTGGGGGTATCAATCCGCTGATAGGAGGCCAACGATACTCCACTGGTACTACGACTGGGGAGCGGGCAATAGTGAGTGGATAGTCTTCAGGTGCGTCTGCCTCGAATGGCGTACACGTCCAACACCCATGCTGACTTCCATCGTCAGCATAGAAATTGTCGTATTCGATGTCCCATTGCCAGTCTTCCGGCAAAAGCTTCCGAACATCTTTCCAGTTTCCCGGAAGCGACTCAGACAACGCGGGTAGCAGTTCATGCTCTCCTTCATCACGAGTAGAAAGAGCCGAAAAATTCCACTCTATTGCTTCGAAGTCTGGATGTTCATCGACGGGCGATGAATCTTGACTTTCTTCTGCGCATGGAGAATGAAGCTCGGCCTCTGCTGCATCTGTCGCCGTGGTGTTCGCTTGCTCAGTCTCCGTTCCCGCTTGTTGACCAGGCTCTGAAATCGCGAACGTAGAGGTACCAACACTGGGTACACTCGTCTGGTCCGAACGAGTCGTTGCAGTGACTCCTGTGCGTGACGTAAATCTGCTTTTCTTGGCACGTCTCGTCGACGACCGTTCCTCGTGAGAGGTCGAAGACACGGTCTTGACCGACTCGGATCTTGGCTCAGTCGGAGCAATCCAGGAAATAGACGGCGTAATTTCTGATCGCAATGATCGATGTCCCTCATCATGCCCGTCGGTAGGCAACCCTCCAGGCATCGTGAAGAGTATTTGACGTGGCAATCAATGTTGGTCTAACCTCAGATCTGGAACACGACAATCGAAAGAATTGTGAGTCCTCGTAGATAGGCGTACGTGATGTTGTTCTGCGTCTGGCAGACGAGGCTGAACTGAGGTCAGCACGTCGCGCCTCGTTGGAGCATGTGACGTACGTTGCGTACTGACCAAGGAGCAAGCAATAATGTTCGGAACGGCAAATGACTGTATACTTTGAATCCCGACTTGTTTGAAAAGAATATGACGCTCGAAGGTTCTGAGAGCAGGCTGAGGTTCAAATGCGTCGCCATGACATGACGTCCGTGCGTACATGCGGCAGGTGAACACTGTCCAGTCAGAATCACGTATGGGTAATCTGCCACATCTTACTGAGACAGTGCTCTTGTGCTGGGAAACGGCCTGGTATTGAGCAAGCTCGGCCTACTGTACGTGAGATGTCATGCTATCCGGTCCTGCACGCTCCCCGGTACTGATGCCGCCAACATAAGCAAATTCACCATACACGTAGCGTGCCTGCGCAGTAATATTTCGGGTCTTGCTGCCATCGTATACGCACTTCTTAGTCGGAAACGCTGCGTTTCCAAGTGCTGTGGGTGCAACAGCACGCCCCGCGAGTTCAACTCATGTTCTTGATGCTATACTCTGGGCAACATCGACTTTCTGAAGGTTTACTACAGGGCCCAAGTGCGGTGCTAATCTCTGTGTAGCTACATGTAGCCTCCTGGCCAGTATTTAGGCGTGACTCGGAGGTCGTTTAGTCATCGCAGATGCTGTACAATCAGCTCAGAGATGTTCGCGACCTCACAGCATTTGGTAGGGGGAAGGCCGTTGGATGCGGGCTTCATCGACATGTAGCTCGCCGTAAGGTTAATGCGACTCTGTGCCATTCCCACATGTCCGACATTGTGTTCTCGCGTGAAGATGGAGCTGACCCCCTAGAGCACCCACGGGTGGGTAAATCAAGTGGCGAGCCGAACCAAATTCGCTGCATCGAAGTATGGTATCTCAGCGCCTGATCAAGTCCTCCTAGTAGACATCGCCATCGAGGTCATGTTTTTAATTGGAATACGGAGCGCGTCGAGTTGGTATCGGGGGCGGTTCGGATCGGGCAGACGCTGGTTACGGCGATGTGGTCTTCTGTATGGGCTTCGAGCCAAACTGGGACTCTGCGCGTTTTCGTATCTCCATTCGCTTCACGCGTGGTCCGCGCTCGGGTAGTTGTCTCAGTGGGTATCTCTCCGTGACTAATGCCGCGCTGCCTTCAGGCCAGAACGTGAAGCGCGACTCGAAGAAGCGGGTTCCTCTGAAGTTTGCTGCCTATGACGCGTCAATCCGCAAAAGCTTCTACCCATATTCAAATCGAGGGGTGCGGTAAGGCCGTGTTTACGTTCGGGCTAGACTTGATGGGCTTTCCATTGGGCGATACGGGCGCGTTCACGGTCGGGTTGGGTCGTGTCAGGAGTAGTTGACATTGTGATGCTCGAGCAGCGACTGCCGTTCAGCCATTGATGACTTGTTTGATTTGAGCTGCCATGAGCCGGAAGTGCATCGCATGATGCGATGTTGAGGGTGCAGTTGCGAATAGGGCCATTGCTGGTAGCAATGGGTCTAGCAATGACGATGGCATCAAGTGGGGCGACTGACGGTGGCTTGTGCGCTTTGCGCAACGCCTACCCCAGACCGATCCCACAACACCTACACCACGCCCAACATGCCTCTGCGATGGACGGCGTTGGTGGTGGAGAACGCATACTGCGCCGCAATGCTGCAAATGACGGTCGTCGCGATAGCTGTCTGTGCACTCGCACTACTTTTGCGAAGCAAACACTCGTTGCGCGACCATCACCATCATTACCACAATCATGAGCTCTAGGGCTTCTACATCATCTGTTCATCAAGCATTATACCAGCTAACAGTGCGGGCTTCATCTGTGTTTGGAAGTAGATGCTTCGAGGCCTCATCTTCATGTTGCAGGCGTGCGTTTCTGTCGTCAAAGGCTAGCCAGCAGAAGACAGACCACCGCGAGTTGTTCGAGTTTACTTCTGGCAGATGGATGTATACCACCTCACATCATTTCACTCACTCAACTGTTGGCTGACACGAACACGTAGCGTCAACGAGCCTTTGCGCATGGCAGAACGCCGCTTAGTTTTCAACGTCTCCGAACTCAAGAAGGTAGCTGCGAAAGCACTGAACAGACCAGCTTCAGATGTGCACGCGATAGAAAAGATCGCCGAAGGCGGTTTTAATCGCATACTCGAAGTAACAATGAATGATGGCTCGTCGGTACTCGCCCGTCTTCCATACCCATCAACCTTACCACGACGTCTGGCGGTAGCGAGTGAAGTCGCAACGCTGGAATTCCTCCGCACTAACGGGATACCTGTACCGCGCGTTCTGGACTACTCGACTCGTGGAAACGCTGTCGGTGTAGAGTATATGCTGATGGAAAGACTACCAGGGAAGCCTCTCAGTGGTATCTGGTTCAGCTTAGCCGAAGAGGAAAGATGCCATATTCTTCACAAAATAGTCTTGATGGAAACCAAGCTCTTCGCGAACGGGCTTCCCGCCTGTGGCAGCATATACTATCCCCGCGACTTGCCTAACGGTACCTCCTGCATTGATATCCCTGGATCCGATGGCAGCTTGTGCATGGGGCCGTACGCGTCTCAGAGATGGTGGTACGGCGAACGTGGGAATCTAGACATTGACCGAGGCCCTCGCAAGTCATGTTCACTCAAATGTACATTCCGCTGATTCTCATACGTGTAGATGCTAATCCCGAGCTCGTTCTTCGAAGTCATGCCGAGAAGGAGTTGGCGTGGATCCGCAAATACGGACGGCCGCGACACCCATTCTATCGCGAATACGCTGAGTCATTTGGATACAAAAAGCAAGACCCTCAAGACCACGTTCAATCGCTAGGAGATTACATGCGCCTCGTACCTCACCTTGTACCTAAAGACGCGACAGTGCATTCGCCCACCCTCCGGCATCCAGATCTCTCTCCTAATAACATCCTTGTATCTGACGATCTTCAAATCACCGGCTTCATCGACTGGCAGCACTCCGAAGTTCTCCCCGCTTTCCTCGCCGCGGACATACCAGCGGCATTTGCAAACTACGCAGACGAAGAGTCTCGAAGCTTTACGGAGCCCAAACTACCGGAGAATCTTTGTTTCATGGCTGAAAATGAGCGTGCTGAGGCAGAAGAACTATATCGCCGACGACACATACATTTCTGGTACCTTGGCCTGACTCAGGTGCTGAACAAGCCTCATTGGCAGGCTTGTACACACGACGGAACTTTCATGACACGTCAGGTATTTTGCGATGCCGGCGCTCCGTGGGAAGGTGACAATACTCATCTCCAGATCGGTATCGCAGATGTTGTGGAGGAATGGCCAGTGTTTGCATCTGCCGCCGCAGACGGTACGGTTCCGCCATGCCCCATCGTCATATCCAAGCAAGAGATGCAGAGAAGAGCAGATATGCGGAAATCACTGCACGAAGGCAATATGTTTAGGGAAGAATTATGCGAGAAAATGGGTGTATCCCATAGCGGATACACATCGCACGAAGACTTTGACTTAGCGAAAGAAAAAGCAAGCAAGGCAAAGGAATGCATAGTGGACAACCTGAAAGACGACCCGGAGGAACTGGAAAGAGCCTTACTTACTTGGCCTTTTGATGACTATGACGAGAATGAATAAGGTCATTGTTCTCGTCCTCCATGTACACTATTAGCATATGAGCGTTACAGCGTGACGACGTGAATATTGCTCCACTCATGTGATTGTACACCATCCTTCAGAGACACTCGCACAAGACACGTTTGTGACATCGCAAGTTCTGTTGCACGCGCTGTATCTGACAAGCGCCCGTACGTGTGTGGTGGAGGTTGAAGATGGCTATCTGAGTAATGCAGTCGTGCAACTCAATTGCGGGGCCACCTGGCACATCGTTGCGTACAAAGCAGTCGCGCAAGGCTTGCACATGCGATACGTTTCTGCATGCAAGTATCAAGCCTTCATGAAGTTCGTCGTTCACACCTGCTGAGTATGTTCAGCGCACAGGCTTCTGATGCTGCCTGGTCTGTCAGCCTTCTTTTTTGTATACGTCATCACTCCGGATCTCAGGCCACCATCATCATGATCGCGCTTCAGGGGCACAGCCTCATCACCAAACTTCCAGTCCATCCGTCACAGCGGTCGCGCAATTCGACATAGTAGCCTGCATCAGCTGCGGTACACAGCCAAGGCGGAAAGACAGGCGGTACGCGCCAGGAACTGATTTTGGGAACGCGTGGGACGCACACGGCAAATCTCTCACCACCCAGACCGCGCCCTCGCCCGCGCCAAACCACCCCACATCAGCCTTCAACATCATGTGCATCGGGAAGCTTTTGCCTGCTGCATCTTGCGGGCGGTGCTTGGTGCCTGCTCGACTACTGGCTTGGACATGCGATTGATGATGTGCTCTGACGCCTGATTGGCCAGTCCAGGCGTAAGAAAAGAAGAAGCTGAGGCTGAGGCAGTCAACCATTGTCCAAATGTGGGCTACGGCAGGCTCGCTCCTGATGCGTTCGCGGGACGTTGAGTCCTTCCCAGGCTCAGCTCGCGTCTGTACGGATGATGCCTTATAACAAGGCTTCGCACCGTTTACCCGCTCATCACAACTGCATCTTGTTCGATAAGACACCATCTGGACAATCGAACGAAAGTTCCTTCACGGAAAGCACGACTTGAGATCATCAAACACAGCACCTGTGGAAAGATCAACTAACTGGCTGGCAAAATGACATACGCCGAGCGCCTTCCATTGTTGGACGAGAAGGCCGCACATGCCTATCAACTGCAGAGGGAGGATGAGACTTTCCAAAACTCGACGAAATCAGCGGAGCGAAGTTTAAGCGACATCATACGCCACGTTGTTCTACTACCTCTTCTCTGCGGCTTCGCCGTATACGGATCCTATACCTTTTGCAGACAACATCTTATCAAGGATATCATGTTATCGGTGCCAGCACATGACAGCTCCACTTCTTTCAACTACACATGTCTACCAGGACAGGCTTGTTGGCCGACCATGAACGATTGGAACGCTTTCAATCAGAGCATCAACGGCAACCTCCGACTGACGGTACCTTGGGCCGCCCCGTGCTATTCAGATCCGTCGAGCACGCAATGTCAAGAGATTGCGAAGAACTACGGCGATGGCGTCTCACGCACGAATCACTATGGATCGACGGAGTTCCTCGACTGGGAGAAGTGCGACACGTCGCAATGTGCACTTAACTCTTTCAATACCACAGAACCTGTTTCCGGTACCTGCTCGCTTGGCAGACTCTCCTCATACCATGTTAAAGCTGATACTGGGCATGATATCAGCAAGACCTTGCACTTTGTGCGCAAGCATGGAATTCGCGTTTCGATCAAGAATACTGGACATGACGTAAGTTTTGACTGTACGAAGTGCATGTGAGACATATACTGACTTCGTATCTCTACTTCTGCAGTACTACGGCCGATCAACCGCGCCAAATTCTTTGGCGATCTGGACTCACAACATGAAGGACACCCAGTATCACGAGACGTTCCAGCCCAAAGGCTGCCAGACTCGCTATGACAACATTGGAGAGATTGGTGCCGGTGTCCAGGCCCAGGAGGCGTGGGAGGCCTTTGAACCTCATGGCATGCATGTCACTGTTGGAGCCGTCGCCTCTGTCGGCATCGCTGGTGGATACGGTCAAGGAGGTGGTCATGGTCCGCTGGGTCCTAAATACGGCTTGATGGTCGACCAGGCTGTCGAATTCGACCTCGTCACTGCCGACGGGGAACAGCGTACCATAAACGAATGCAACGACCCTGATCTATTCTGGGCAATGCGCGGAGGTGGAGGCGGCACTTATGCTGTGCTCACATCTTACAAGTTCCAGCTCCACCCGGCCGATCCTATCAACGTATACAGCTTCCAAGCTCACTTTCCCGCGCCGAAGAACATCACCGAGTCGAAGGTACATCGCGACATCATCACAGGGCTTGCTGCGAACCAAACGCTATTTGCCAAGCATGGAATCGCCGGATACAATTTTGTGCTCTCAGATCGTGTCGTGTTCTTGCAGGTCCTGCCCTCTAATGACACGGAGGCGATCAAAGACATCACGTCCCAATGGCACGACTTCTTGACGAACTACTCCGGTCTCAGCATCACCGAAAATGAATATCACTCCTTCAAGAAGTTCTCGCAGTGGCATGAGTTCACGGAAAGACCCGAGATATCTCGCAATGGACCCGTGGGTCTAGGCTTCAATGGCGCGGGGCGCTTCATCCCCAAGAGTCTCTTCAACTCGTCCCACAATATCGACCGGCTCGTCACTGCAGTCCTCACCGCCATGCAATTTTCACGTGTCAACCATGGCAGTGGAGGCGCACAGTTCTACGCTACCGGACCAGACAACACTCCTGACAACGGTAAGACCAGCGTAAACCCCATCTGGCGAGACTCGCTATGGGAAATAGTCATGGGTCAATTTTGGACGACTGCTACATCGCCAGCGGCTCGCTCGCAAATCCAAAAGACTGTCTCTGCTACGATGGACATCTTGAAAGCCGTCACACCGGATGGTGGGTGCTACTCGAACGAAGGTGATTGGACCGAGGAGAACTGGCAACAAACGTTCTTTGGGGTGCACTACGAGAGATTGCTCGCCGTGAAGAGGCGCTACGATCCAACAAATCTGTTCAACTGTTGGAAGTGTGTGGGTTGGACGGGATATGATGAGTGAGTATCATGGTCTAGATCTTGCAAACAAGAGCTAACTGCCACAGTCCAATGTACTCCTGCTATGCGCAAACTCGACAGGAGCCGAGGCCTTCCGTGCCTCTTGGGCCTGTTGGATGAGCGGATCGCTTATCAGCGACTACCTCCATGTTTAGCAGTCAACGTCGCGCAAGCCATGGCCGTCATTTTTGTCTTACCCTGGAACTTTGCGGTGTCTTTCTTCTTGGACTGTCTTGCTAAAACCATCATTGTTTTTGTTTGCATCGCAAAGCAATTTACACTATTCACATTCAGGCAAACTCCCGCCCCCATCTCTTGTGTCACTTTCGGGGCCAACATGCACGTGCGGTGCGCCGCCGCCCGGTGTGTTGCCACCGCCGCAACGCGAGTGCAACCTGGTGAGCTTCACCGGCTCGTGGAAGAGCAACGTGTGGGGGCCGTGTGTGTTGCGTCTCCGTTTGTGCTCATCTAAGGCCTTGCCATTGGCAGGCCTCTGATTGGCCGGCCCCCATTTATTCACCGGCTGTCCAACGGGGCCAACGCGCCCCAACGTGGCATATAATTGTTATCCACGCTCACTTGCGCTTTCAGATCCCCGGGTGACGCAGAATCATAACAATAACAACAACAGTTTCCCCAGCGACTTTTACTCCCACACTCCTTTACCTGCTCCGACCCACATAACGCGACACTCAACTGCCTCACTATACTCACTCGAACCCGTTTCTACTTACGCCATCAGGTCCAGAATCTGATTCAAGATCACTCACGATGCACTTCAACGTCATCGTTGCGCTTGCGCTGCCGCTACTCGCCGCAGGTGCCCATATCGGACGTCGCCATGATCGCCATCATGAGAAGGTGGATCGCCGCGCCATTCAGACAGACGTTGTTTTCGTCACAGAAACTATCATCAAGACCGTCACCATCGAGTCGGCTGCAAGCTCTGCGGCCTCTAGCTGCACGGTTACTACCACGGCTGCAGCGCCAGAACTGTCCATGACTGTCAAGCTCCCCGACAAGGGCATTCCTGACGACGCATCTACTTCCACGTCTTCTGTTGCTCCTTCAGTTGCTCCTCCGTCTTCTTCAGGTGGTCCATACGCTACTCTCGATTCCATTCCAAACCAGGCCATCATCGTCAACTCATGTGACTACGATGTTTACGTGTCCTCTATCGGCGATGAGGAGAGATGCGACAACGGACCGGGCAGCGAGTGCGTACCGATACCCGCTAACAGTATCTATACTGAAGCAATCCGTACCTGTCACAAGTCTGGTATCTCACTAAAGGTCGCAAAGGCTAAGGATATGGCCCTCCCAATGCAATTCGAATACACAGTCTGGGATGACCACGTCAAGGTATCTTACGACATTTCGTATCTCGATTGTATGACCAAGAACGGGACCAACTTTGACAACTGCGCCGGCCACGAGAAAGGCATTCAAGCCGCTGCCAAGGACGGCCCAGTCTTCCAATGTGTCGCAAATGAGCCGTGCGCTCAACAGGCCTACGTCGTTCCCGAATTCGGATACTTGCCTGACGCCCCAGTTGGCGGTTCGACCATCGACAAGGGCGTTGCCTTTGAGATCTGCGCCGGGAACAGATCGTGAGCGTCGCCGCCACGTGGAAAGAAATTACGAACATAAGGTCACGACCTGAACTTTTCTTTCCCGTGTCAACCCAACGAAGGGATCCGGCTATCTCTTTCACGAACATGATGGAGCAAGAGAGTGTGTGTTGTCTGACTACAACGATGTCTTTTCAACACTTTCTAACAATCTACGGCAGGCCCTGGATAACGTTTCGAGGTAGACAACTACATGGCCTCATGTTTTTTTCTCTTCTTTGGTTTTCTTTTCATTGTATACTCTTGACTTCAAGGCTTTTTTATCTCCTTCTTCTTCGAACAAGGGCATACACGAGGGGCGTTGGAGGATTTTGGGATATGATGCTGGCGCATGGATAGCAGCGGATGGCAGCCGGTGCTGGTGGTTTCCCTCATCTGGATATTTTCACTATCAGGATAAGATAGTTTGCTTGCAAGCCTCAATCAAGAGCATAGCACAAACTCTTCTTACGCCATGCCGTGATTTTGGTCATTTGAGGGCCCGGTGTCCGATGACATGCACGCGACGCTCAGACATCTCGGAGTCCTATGCGCAGCTTCGCCGCAACGTGGTACCCACCCATGCACTGCCAACCATGGTTGGCTCCAACTTTCGTACAACGTCTCGCGGCGTGGACACCGCGACGATTACCGCTCGATTTTGTTACATCATTACCTGCATGCGCTCGACCCGAAGTCATCGCCGTACTCAAGCATACCACGACTAGATAAGTCCACGATGTAGGATTTGGATGTTTACTGACCCATAAACTACTCATGATGGATTACTCACTTCTTCAGTCATGCACTGCGCTGTCATGAACATCCTCTTTTCCTATGCAAATGTCTTCTCCTCTTCGCATTCTTCTTCTTTCATACACTTGTGCCCTCCTAATACGCCCATCGCCGTTGTAAAGCTTCTCGTAATACTAACATTCTTCTCGAAACCAACCTCTCCATAACGACGCATAGGCACCCAACTTCACACTACCAAAGCACGGTCGAAAATCGCTGTGCCACAAACCAACACCGACGAAATTCCAACATGGCCGTACTACGCGCATGCTCGCCCATTGCAACGGCCTTGGTCGCTCTGCTTCTCCTACCGAGACCTGTTACAGCAGTGCCGCATAACCACGGGCACAAACACGTGCACCGACATGTCTCGTCAGCCAACGACCTCATCACTCTGGGCCCTGAGTCGCTGGCACGTCGAGACACATCATTGAACGTTGGAGATCTCCCACGCTACAGCGAGGAGGATCTCATCAAACACGCGAGCACATGCGCTCGGGGACCAGAACAACTTCCCCTCAACCCGGGCGTACCCAGACCCGTCGAGATCACCAAGATACCAGAACTCGATCTCTTCCCACCGCCAGAGAGTGTACCTGGTATTCTGACCATGCACAACTATTGTGGGTACGACCTTTACTGGTTCCACTTCCACGACACGGAATTTGAACATGGAAGTTTGCCTGCCGGGGGGACTGAGGCCAGACCGCTCGCGGGCAAGGTCATGAAAGTGTCCAAGACGACGCCCATGTCTCACGAACTGCAAGTCGAATATGCCCCTAAGACTAATGGCGAATTGTGGTATAATCTCAGTCTGATCAATTGTATCGCTTGGCAGAATGGGAAGCTCACTACCGATACGTCAGGGTGCGCGGGTCATGAAGCAGGATTGCAGCTGGGTCAGAATGGCGGGCTGGCCTTCCAGTGTGAGGCTAACAAGTGGTGTGATGATCAGGCATATTTTTATAATGGAGTAAGTCGCAGCAGTGGCTTCGATGAGAGCGATACGCTAACTTTACCTACTGTAGGAAAACATCTGCGGCAAGGAAAATGCAATCTACGTGGGCACAATTGATCAAGGTCTTACTGTCGAGTTTTGTGCTAGTATGAAGCCCTAGCGTTTCGTCAGAGCTGTGCGGCTATGTATTCCTCAACATCTCGTTGCGCCTGTCATTCGTTTCGGTCGTGGACCCTGGTCTCTGTCTAGCTTGGTGGTCAAGGAATGGGTTGTCTTTCCTTCAGGCGTACCTTCGCTGTTCCTACCGATATATAATGAAATGTAATTTTTACCAGGTCGTTCTTACACCTCATTCGGGGTCAACGCTGAATACCGGGAAACCTACATCAACGCTACATCTTCTCATTTGCTTATTGTTGGCTCATCGTAGGCTGCACGCTTCAGGCTTGTTCAGCGTTGTCCTTGTATGAGTAGCTCACTCTTTCCATCGACCTGATCAGCCCAGCCGACTTCTAAAAAACCTCCTCAACGTTCCCACAGCTCCATCAACCAACGTCTGCTCACAAGAATCCGACTCAACATGCTGAAACAAGCTCGACAGTTTCGCCATTGACGCATCGCAAGTTGGACACTTGAAGGGATCGGCGTGACTTTGCGAATCGCCGTAGTCGAGAAGATCATAAATACAACACTCGCCGCATACGAAATTAGGCCATTTACGGCACACAGCTGCAAGCATGTTTAGATTAACGTAATTGAAATTGCTGCAGGTGCCGCGTTCGAGATGGATGATCTGTTACGGTGAGTAGCGGACCGAAGTGAGTGTGGGTACAAGACTTACCATGCCGCCATATGTTTTGAACATATCGTCACATTTAAAACACTTATACTGTGGTATACGATGAGACTGCCGGTGCTGCGTATTCTCAGCACACCACACCTACCCAGTCGAAGTTTCGCAGCCTACTTGATGCAGCTGGCTTGGCGTATCAAAGTGCCGCTCGCATTTTGTACACACGTTGAATTCGTGAAGATGTTCGTAGAACTCGTCGCAATCAAGTTCCCAGTGCCCTCCGTTTCCGTTGCCGCAGCCTTTGCACACAGAGCGGCAATCTTCTTGACGACAATGTTCGAGCAAGTCGTGCCAAGTAGCGCCGTCGTAGTGGCATTCTGGACACTCGTGGTGGTTCCGAGAGTCGCGTTCGTGTTGAATGAGTGCGCCGAATGAACCAAAGGTACGCTGGCAGCGCTCGCACTCACTGCTCGTTGTCAGTGCATGATGAATACGCAGAGTGATTACCTACAAGCTCCATACCATAATTGACGGTCGGATACCAGATCCTCGCCGGTGCGGCGATTGTGTGCTTGATATGTGTTTGAGATGAGCTATTGCATTCGAAGTGAGGATTATATGCATGTCGGTAATCACGGAAATTCCCGACGCTCGGATGCTCGCCGGTGGGGTATACAGCGTGTCCTCTCCATCTAATCCAGCTCGGTCAACTGTCACCAGTCCACGATACAAACCAAGTCAGAGGGAAATGTTATGGTAGTTGCTTCTCCCTGGCTCACTAAGAATGATATGCCAGAAATGATAAAAGTCCTAATTCTGTCATGCGGTCGGAAGAAGTCGTACGCGGGGGTTGGGAGCGATAGCATATTCCTAAACTGAAGATCTAGTTAAATATAGCTGCACCTCTAAGAAGTCCATTCCTTAAACGCCTTCTGCTTTTGCCTGCTATTCCACTGCAGAGTCCTCGAGATACTATCGATCCAATCCGTTCTCCTCTTGTTCAGTGGCAGCACGCTGGGGAACGGGAAGCGACTTGCGCTAATCGTAACGTAGTCGCCAGGCTTGAGTTCGACCCTTTCTCTGCCGTCAAAGCTGGCCCAAGAACTTGTTCTCGCGTCGTATGGTACACCGCACCGGAGTACGATGGTATCGGGAAGGATGATAGGTCTGAACGAGAGCGTATGTGCGCAGATGGCGGTAACGAGGACCACAGGGTTGTCGGGGTGGCAGAGCGATCCGCCTGCAGCAAGGTTGTACGCAGTCGAGCCCGTAGGCGTAGACACGCAAATACCGTCAGCCTGCACAGTCGTGAAATGCTCGTCGTCTCCGAACAGCTCGATGGACGACATTGTAGGGTTTGGGCCCCGGTCTACGACCACCTCGTTCAAGATGTTATGTGTACCATCGGAGTAGTGGGTATGGTGGTCGTCGATTTCCTCCCCGATAAGTTCTTCGACCAGATCGCGACCCTCGCCGTCGCGTTGTTGGGATCGCATGACGGTAGCTTCGAAGCGGAGGCGCAGGCTGACTGTAATGCCGTCCGCGAAGGCGGTAGATAGGGATTGTGGGTATAGTTCGAAATCGAATTTGGTGAGGAAGCCGAGCGAGCCTAGTGAGAAGGAAATCGTTGGAGGTACGATGCGCTGGAAGAGCCATGACGCATACAAGACTGTGCCGTCACCACCCAGCTGTGTTGTCATTAGCCTTGAAGACTCCGCAGTATGACATGTCTTACCGCGAGGACAATGTCAAAGGTCTGTGGCTTTTGAGCGCACATCTCGTTGGTCCAGAATTTGAGCCGCCCTTGAAACCCCTCGTTCTCCAACAGCCCAGCGGCGTCGAATAGCTTGTTGTCCTCCAGCGTCTGCTCGACGTAGCTATGTCTCGTTAATCGTGTCCGTTGCTAGGCAAAACTAGCACATACACCGTATGCTCCGAGCTCTTCCGCAGAAGCCAGTCGGTCACCTCGCGCGAGTTCTTGATCAAGGCCTCGTCGTGCGCTTTGCCGAGGATGAAGATGTTCTTCACATGCAGCTTCAGCCTGATCTGTGACAGCTTCTTGGACAGCTCGCGTATTCCAAACGCCATATCTGACAGCTCCTTCTTGGTCAACAGCCGCGAATGTTGCGTCTGCTCCGAGCGCGCCGAGGCAGGGTCTTTGTCGACGCGCCGTTCCTGCGCGAGGCCTTCGTGCGATTGGGAGTGATCTTGTACGGGCAAGCCATCGTGCTTTTCGAGAAGGGAGTGTACGATACACGCGGTGGTACGGCGACCGTTCTCGGGGCGGGACGTCATCTTGCCAGAGGGTGGGGGTGCGAGCGAGGCTTTGCGACGATGGCCGCTATATCCGCCTTCGAAGACGACCTGCGATTATTGGTCAGCGCGTGGAGGAAGGGTGCAGTGGAGTAGGTACCTCTAGCGCATCGTCACGGCTGGTCACCTTGGTGATATTCTTGGTGTCTTGGTCTCCAAGCTCGCTCTCCATGAGGAAGTTAGCTTCAACGCGTCGTTATGACGTTTGGGGGGTGCATAGGTACCTCGATTGCTTCCTGAACGCCAGGGCTCAGCTGGTCGAAATAACTCGTCGCCATGGCTGAAGTGCGCAAATAGTCCTGCGATTGAAAGGGCCAAGAGACACGGCTGCCCTTTTGTAGCCTCGCTGTAGCGCGTGCGTAATGTCCCAGGTGCAACAGTAACTGCGGTTCTCGGCCCACTTTCCGAGGGGCAGGCACGCCCGGCCCCGCTTGCTTCCAATCATGTCCGCGCAACGCCGATGAGATCAGCCACCGGCGTCCTTACTCATGCCTTTGCTCAACCACGACCATTTTCATGGTGGTAGTCTTGCTGACAAAGGATGCTAAAGCGGGACTTCCACTGATTCTAGCACTTCCTCGATCACATCCTCAACCGTGACACCTTCAAGGACTGCCTTGACTGCCTCGAGCGAGCTACCCCATTGCATGCTGCGCTCGTTCTCTGGTGCAGTAATGACAATGCGATGTGGGTATATTTTGCGAGCGGCAAGGGCGATCATAGATGGAGAGATGTAATCGAGGCCGTGAAGTGGGGCGAGCGTACTGCTGGGGTCAGTATCGTCTTGATGAGATTGTGAACCACTCACTGTGCCAGCGTGTTGAAGTGTCTTGTGGCCAAAGCAGAGATGCCTCCTGCCACTGCTCGATGCAGTCGCATGAACACGATAATGTTGTATAGATAGGCTCTTACTTCAGAACTGATTCTGACTTGCGACACCAGTTTCGTCAAGGTCTCGAGCTCCTGCTCTTGTCAGTACAGAACGGGCATACTATGGTCGACATACATCAGGTAGGAATAATGCTTGCTGCGGCTTAAGCTTCCCCGGTTGGAACGGCGGCGTGCGAACCACAGAAGACATTGATGCGCCGTCGTCTGACGCATGATTCTTCTCCTGTAGCTCTTCAAGATTTGGCAGTCCATCATCTGCCTGATGCTTGTGTGAGATAAAAAATTGGTCATTCTGTAGCATTGTTAGACTTTGCATCTAGATTGTAGGGTCGGCATACCAAATGCATTGTTAGGCGCGGTGTATCTGGAGCATTCAAAGCGATGAATAGGAACGGCTTTGGAGCCGCATGTACTGCTGTCCTCGTGAAGTTCCGCTTGCCTCGTATCAGCTGTCTATCATTAGTTATGCTCGAGCAGAAAAGACGGTGGATGCACCTCCAAGGCCTGAATCTGAACCTGCGGGTTCGCCCGGTTGAGGTTTCTTGCGATTACAATGTTCGCGATGCGTTGGTTGTCCAATGGACTGAACGGTTTGGATGACCTCGATGTATGTCCGCCAGGTTTCCCAGGTGATACTGAGATGGACGAAAACTGGCTAGACATTAGTCGCTGGCAAATCAGCCTACACGAGCACAAGTTACCTCTCCTCTACCACGCCCAGTTTTGTTGCCGAAGTAGTCGTTCTCTTCTCCTCTGACAAGGATTCCGCTTCCAAAATCGTCCAGCGTGGTATGCTCGGTGCAATCCAGTACAGCCCATGTTAGTCCAAAAGTATTGGTAGCGACCTATTGTTATCAGCACGTAAGCGATCTCACAGTGGGAAGCAACTCACAAGCTTCAATTCCTCCAGCACGTCACGGGTCAGTTGCCTTTCCGCTTCGATGATGCAATGTTGATCCGCGACCAAGCAGATGAGAACGGCAAGCTCCAGGTCGCTCAGCGACTGTACTTTTTCCGTGATGCGATCTTCCGAAGCTTCCATTGTCGATAAGATCTGGGAAGGCTTACTTCGCTCTTGTGAAAGTTCTAGAAGCCTGTAAGAAGTCTGGCGATGAAAGTGCTTGGACGCGATGGCTGTTTCCAAAGTCGCGTTCGGTGAGCGAACAGGGATGTGATGCCGCTAGTTCGATAAAGGACTAGACTCAAGTCCCCTGGAAGTCGCGCCCGGGCGGGCTGTGAGGTCACCGCCAGAACGTCTTCACGGGGAGCAGCTCAGCATGCACACCACCACACATCTCAGTGATTTTGCATTATCAGTAGCTTCGCATCGTTAGAGTACATCGGAAGACTGAGAACCAAGGGCAATGCCTCATGGCTGGCCACTCATAATGCGCTCCGAACCCAGTTTCTACCGTATCAGACCCCATTTCTTCCCCGACATGGCACCTTCGCTCCAAGGCTTAGCCAGACTTCTTCAAAGCGCCTCTGATCTCTTCCTTCGGTGTGTCGACGAGACGAAGACTTTTCCAAGTGGTTGACGGAGTAGTTTTGGGTACTGCTGGGGAGCTTAGTGCAGGAAAGGCTTCTGCGACGCGAGGGACCTTGCGCAGTGTGACAGGTGGGTTGACAGACGACTGAACAACAACTCGACCAGTCCATGCGCCATCGACGGCCGCTGGCTCTGCTGCGCGACTGTCCTCAGATCCGGTCTTGGTGCTTGACGCGCGAGAAGGCTTCGACTTTGGCGCAGGCTTCAACTCTTTCAATGCTTGCTCAGCTTCTTGTACCTTGCCCTCGAGTGCCTTCTTCTTATCCTTAGAGTCGTTTACATCGGCAGTCGCAGTGTCTAGAGTGTTCTGCCAGATGGTTGCAAGCCCGTCTAGGTGTTGGAGCTCGGCGACTTGACGAGCGAACACCGCAGCTGTATCGGGGATATGTGGCTTTGAGACTGCTGGTTGGCTCTCGTGATGCGGCATGGGGCCCGATGTGGGTTCTCTTGATAGCTTCTCGTACTCTCGCTTCAACTCATCGTAGTCGGTCTGAAGTACAGCCTTCTCAGTCTGGAGAACCTGGTTCTCGTTGTTGAGTTGGTCGTAGCCTTGTTGCAGAGCATTTGCCTGATCGTCGCGCTTCCTGTACTCCCTCTCTAGTTCCAATTTCGTCCGTCTCAGTAGCACTTTCTCTTGGTCTCCCTCCAGCATCTTGGCTTCTAGCACCTCTTTCTCTTTAAGCATTCTAGCGTGCTGCAAAGCCATTACATGAACTTTATGACCTGAGTCAATATGCTTCATCCCCTCGTCGTACACACGCTCTTTGACTAACTTTTCGACGTTGGTGTAATAGCCCTTCGAAAGCTGACGATACTTGTCGTTCAATATTCTTTCCTTTGCAGCAAAACTGCCTTCATCCATTTTCAGACTCAGCTCCAGCTCCTCTACTTTGCGCTTTTCGTCTGAGAGCGCGGCTTCGAACGCCTTCGCCTTCGCTTCTGATTTTAAAAGCACTGTCATAAGATTTGCCAGCTTTTGCTTGACAGCTCTGAGCTCCTCTATATCGGTTGGTCTGTTCGTCCAGAAAGACTCCAGCGTGACTAGCACCTGTGCGGCAAGTTCGTCACGTAGTTCGTCGATTCCCAGACCTGTTGCTTGGTGACATGTACATTCGGGTAGAGCATCTTGGTAGATCTTCCACTCTGCCTGGGACAGTGGTTTGTCACCGATAAGCTTTGGCGGAGTGTGACCCTGACTGATACAATTTTGGGTCATCTGTGTGAGCCAGAGCGCTGCCTTGATCGAAGTGACCTTCTGCAATGCGGGGCTCAGAGCGTTGAAAAGCTTCTTTAGGCCGTCGAGTTCACCAGTGATTATTGCTCCGGTCTGAAGATCCAGGTAGTCGAAGCCCATCGTGTGCTTTTTGAGATCATCGCACACCTGACCCTCGAGGGCCGCTACTGTGATTTCCATGGTAGCTGATGAAAGCTCTGCCGGTAACCTGGAATACCGATCAGCTATCCACCTCAGTCTCGGAGTATCGTAGTATGCTTACTGGAGTGCGTGTACAGCGGTACCGTTTCGAGGTCCAGGGACGGAATCAGAACCAATGTGGGCACGCGTACGTGGCTCCGTAGAGCTGACGTCGGTATTAGTGTCTTGGTCGTATGGTGAAATGACAAAGGTCCGTGGTAGGAGCACAAAGCCTTGGCCCTTCTAGCATAGGGTGAGCGGATGCGGCGCCCGCAAACCAGAATGTGGGGCTAAAGACGCGTTCGTCAGGTAAACAAATGCGTTTGCTATTGCGAGCCTACGTCATCAGCGCAAAAATCCTCCCACCGAACTCTAGACATATCACACAAACTACTGCCCTACCTATCGTCATCTTCAACGATGTCATTCAGCTCGAAGCATCCAAGCAACGGTATAGCCAATCACCTCCGAGCCACGGCAGCGACGTTTACCCCACTGGCCTCCAAGAGCGACGCGAAGTCTCCACACAATTACGAACGGCAGAATGATATCACCTGCGAGAGTTCAAGTTCTCTATCCCCACACGCTCAAGCAGACGAAACGTCAGACACCTCCAATGCCAGAGTAAACGTTGGAGCAGACGGATCTGAACACAAAATTGCAGAGCGCGAGACGAAGATGGACTGCACCTTCTGCGATTCCCTAGACCAACCACTCCAGTGCTGCCAGTCTCTCACGCTTTCACATCCCTGCCCTCACTGCGATGAGCTCAGCCAACTCTTCACCCGCAAAACCGAGGAACACAAAGACGAGATAGCCACTCTGCAGGACAAGCTACAGCGACTGGAAAAAGAATCACTGGAACAAAAGTTCACCAGGCTATGCGACGAAAAGAACACGAAGATCGATATGTTGAAACGCGAAGTCGAGAAGATCAACAAGGAAGACGAGTCACTGAAGGCGGAGAATAAGGAGTTGGAAAAGAAGCTGAAGATGCTGGAGGCGGAGATTAATAAGTTACAGCCACCTGCGGCGTTCACGGTCAAGGAGAAGAAGACCAAAGGGAAGAAGAAGTAGAGTCTGGAAGTTCTTGAGGGCGTCATTTCTGCTGGCACTGTATATTAGAAGCTCTCTATGTCAATCACAGGGTGATATGGCGCTTATCTGTGCCCTCCCATACGGCTTTGTAGTCTCACCGCTAATCAAAGATGTTACATTGACCCCACGATGCTAATGCCGAAACTTCCAAGTATCCACATGAACACGCTGAGGTGCGGTATATCATGTCGCTTATAGAGGGCTCTCTAAACGTCGTCGAGCTTGTTCGATCTTGGCGTCCAGCGATATTATTTCCGCTTTCTTCTTCTCATTTGAAGCTAGCTTGGCGTTCAGTCGGTTCTCAAAATGCTTCTCCTGGCCGTCCAGACGATCTAACTCAGATATCGGGGCGGGCATGTTGCTGTTAGGGGTAGTGAGCAACGGGTCAGAAGCGGCTGAGTTTGATCTAGAGTTTGTTGCAAGTGTCATGGCGTCGAGACGCTTTTGAAGGTCATCGCGTTCAGCGATAGCGTCGTTGTATTCTCCTTGTAATACGCTAGTTTGGTACTGTAACCTTCCCAGCTCTTTCTGCAGTTGTGGATATCCCTCTTTGTAGTCTACCAGAAGCTCGTTGTCGGTGATGAGGTCTTTGCAGGTCTCATCCGTGGCCTCTTTCACATTCTTGAGGTCTGTGTTCTCCTTTACTAACCTTGCATTCTGTTGCTCAAGCTTCTGATTGTTCTCTGTGGTACTCGCAACCTGTTTTCGAGCAGTTGAAAGTTCATTCTTCAACTTCTTGACCTCGTCTTGAGCCGTGTTGAGACTCTTCTCGGTCACCCCTAGACGCTTGTGTGAATCGAGGTGCTCGCGGCGGAAACGATCAGTCTCTTCGCACTTGGCAGACAGCAATGATTTATGTTGCGTGATAAATGTCTGCAATGGCACGCAAGCATTCTTCGTGAACCGGCTGCGCAGTATTTCAGCTTTACGCTGGTGGCTCCGCAAGACCGCTTCCTCATTGCCCAGCTGAGTCCTAATACTCGTTAAGGCAGCACGATACATGCTCCCATGTTCCTCATCTTCGGCCTGTTCTTTCTGTAGCTTGATCATCCGTTGGTCGGTTCTCTCGATGGCGGCCCTGGCCTCAGCGATTGCTTCTCCCACACGACGGACTTTGGAAACCAGGGTGACTATTGAGGAATGCATTTGTCGCAAGTCCAGTGCAATAGGTTTCATGGCCTTATCATCTAGTTCCAGGAATGGTTTGATCCAGTCCATGAATTCCCCTTCCGTTGCGACCTCAAACGTCCCCTTCTCGGACGATGAGCTAGTTGGGAACGCAGTCAACGGTCCATCGCCTTGAAAGCCCGGGCTTTGACCGAATAGTCCAGTTGGAGGAGTTTGCGACGCTTGGTTACCGATAGATCCACCGGGATTGATTGGAGGTATCGTTACAAACTTAGGATCGGAGGTTACGAATGGCCACTCTAGCATACTAGGCAGAGCCCGTTGGCCAGAGAGACCTCCAACCGAAGATCCAGCAGAGGCGTGCTGCCTGAACACGTTTCTATCACCATGAGGTACGTACTCGTCTGACATTTCGAAGTGGAAACTACTACCTGGCTTTTCAGAGTGATTCGATTTGTCTTGATCAGCCTTCCCGTCACTTTGAGACGCGCCAGACATGTTGTATTTCTGACGCGGATCTATTGTCGTTCTGTAGGTGTTGGGGCGTTAAGATGGTGATAAAAGAGCAATTATGGGGTGATGCTTTTGGTGGGTTCGAGGAGGTGCTTCCGATGGAGTAGACACTACGTTTGCTGTTGCTAGAAGTCGGTCAGATTCTGGAAGGCACTACAACTGTCAGGATTGGACGGGACTTGCGATGGAACTCGTTGGTGCTGGGATGCTCTATATCTCAAAGGAAAAACGCGCTGGGATCTGCTGAGCAGCCTTGTAAAACAGCCCATCAAGTGACTGCCTCTTATGACACAATCAGTCACCCTTTGAGCTTCGTGATCCACTCTGCCCGACGTCGCCTGTATAATCTTCCTTATGACTCAGCCTTTTTGAGAAAGATTTCGACCTAGTCCAACTCTTCAAAACCGTCGGCTCGACCAGACTTCAACTACGTAGAGATGCCAGAACAAACTCCAGAAAGCCGTGCCCAAGAGAAGCGCGATTACATTGATGCTTTGAAACTACAAATAGATGAAGCAGAGGAAGAAGACAAGAGGCTAGACACAGAGCTAGAAGAGCGAAAGCAGGAGCTGAAGGATCTAGAGGTCAAAATTAGGGAGAAAGAAGGGTATATCATCAAGCTAGACATGAAAAAGAAGAAGGGGATGAAGAAATGAGTAGTAGGCAGAAGGGCAGCTTCGCTCAATTTCTGATTGATATAATGCGTCCTCGCGTGGATTGCCACGGCGCACAAGACAGTAGTAAGACCACAAGCATATGCGTAGTTGGCGAGTGTTCTTGCATTCAGACAATGCTAGTAAATCGCAGTCGGTTCCCATCGTGCTCGTTGTTCAAGGGTCCCGAGGTCGCGCTCCGCGGTGGTGTTGATGAATGCATGCAAAGGCCGCGACGTGAAGGCAAGACTGCGCATACAATGACATCTGCCACTTCCTGGCTCGAATGCGAAACCCGACTGGTGAAAGGTCAAACCCCACAAATATCAGAACAGCGTGGCCTCTTGGGAGTTTGGTGGGAGATTCGCGATAGCTCAGGGACGGAGCTACGGCTAGCGCGCGCACGGGTAATTTCCCCAGCGACACGTTGCGAAAGCTCATGAAGCAAACCCCCTCTCCATCTTCCATCAACTGGCTGTTCGCAACCACCTTCTTCACCTTCTCGTTGTCTTCTTTCTTGTCTCTGGGCCATAGTTCGCAATCATGAGCGGCCGTAAGTCTCCATCCCACCTGTCAATGGCCCGGCGAGGCGTGCGCGCAACACCTGCGAGGAATTAATTACGGCGCGGACGAACACCACAGCTAACGGTTGCACGTAGTACGGTTCCTCGATCTCGTCAAGCCTTTTGTGCCTCTGGTGCCTGAAATTCAGCTGCCAGAGAGCAAGGTTCCTTTCAACAACCGCCTGGTATGGACCGGTCTCACCCTCCTCGTCTTCCTCGTCATGAGCCAGATGCCGCTCTACGGAATCGTGTCGTCTGATACCTCCGACCCGCTATACTGGCTCCGCATGATGATGGCGAGTAACAGAGGAACACTGATGGAACTGGGTATCACCCCCATCATCACCTCCGGCATGGTTTTCCAGCTCCTCGCGGGAACCCACCTCATCGACGTCAACCTCGACCTCAAGTCTGATCGCGAGCTCTACCAGACCGCGCAGAAGCTCCTCGCTATCCTCCTGTCTTTCGGTCAGGCCGTCGTCTATGTCATCTCGGGTCTCTACGGACAGCCATCCGACCTCGGTGCCGGTATCTGCGTTCTCCTCGTCATTCAGCTGATGATCGCTGGTCTGATTGTTATTCTCCTCGACGAGCTCCTCCAGAAGGGCTACGGTCTCGGCAGCGGTATCTCGCTCTTCATCGCCACCAACATCTGCGAGTCCATCATGTGGAAGGCTTTCTCGCCCACCACCATCAACACTGGTCGCGGTCCTGAGTTCGAGGGTGCTCTCATTGCCCTTGTCCACCTGCTCTTCACCTGGCCCAACAAGACTGTTGCGCTCAAGGAGGCATTCTACCGCCAGAACCTCCCCAACGTCATGAACCTGATCTCCACCGTCATCGTTTTCGGTGCTGTCATCTACCTCCAGGGCTTCCGCGTCGAGATCCCCGTCAAGTCTGCCCGCCAGCGTGGTGTTCGCGGCTCATACCCCGTCCGCCTGTTCTACACCTCCAACATGCCCATCATGCTGCAGTCGGCTCTGTCCTCCAACGTCTTCTTGATCAGCCAGATGCTCTACAACCGTTTCTCCGACAACCTCCTCGTCAAGCTTCTCGGTGTCTGGGAGCCCAAGGAGGGTTCCGCTCAGCTTTTCGCTACCTCCGGTGTCGCCTACTACATGTATGTCTAGTCATAGTTCACGCTACAGAACCAGTCACTAATGAGCTCCAGGTCTCCCCCTCTCAGCATCACCGAGGCCCTCTCCGACCCCTTGAAGACCGCCATCTTCATCGTATACATGCTCGTCGCTTGCGCTGTCTTCTCTAAGACCTGGATCGAGGTTTCCGGCTCGTCTCCCCGCGATGTTGCCAAGCAGCTCAAGGAGCAGGGTCTGGTCATGGCTGGTCACCGTGAGGAGTCCATGTACAAGGAGCTCAAGCGCGTCATTCCTACCGCTGCTGCCTTTGGTGGTGCCTGCATTGGAGCTCTGTCCGTCGGCAGCGACCTTCTTGGTGCTCTCGGTAGCGGTACTGGTATTCTCCTTGCCGTAACCATCATCTACGGATACTTCGAAATTGCCGCCAAGGAGGGCGACATGGCCGGCCTCAAGGGCATGGTCATGGGCTAGATTAGCCCATAGGGATATTGGATTTTTGATTTGAACGACGGATGGGTTGGGGTTGGGGTGCTTCGCCGCACATTGTAACATATGATCTAAGAACAAAAGTTTACGAAGGTCTCTGGCATCACTTTACGTACTGCAGCGTGGCGTCTGGCTAGGCTCACGATGTCGGCCCTTCTCTAATGTATCATTGTTAACCCTTAAACTGCGTTTGGACCTGATCGCACCTGCAGTCCACGGGTATCACTTGAAGCCTTCACGTGCTCGGCCTTGGCGTGTTGCTCCTGGCGCCTTACTCATCGAGCTTCAGTCGTTCTTACCCTGTCTGTTGCTTGCACCTAGGTATCGCATCCAACGACAGGTATGCCTCCGCCGTCAGCAAGAGCCCACGTCATGGATTCAACCTTCAACGGCAGTATCACATTGGTCAGCTTAGCGAATGCGAAATGTGGCTTACGTGCGTACCAAACCGCCACGCTAACGCATGCTGCGGTCTGCGATGCGAAAGTCTGGGCATTGCGGCCTAGGAAACATCGTCATACACAGCATTGAGGCGTTTTATACATGGGTAATGCGAAGATTAAGCGAATGCGATGTACTGCTGCGCATGCGAAATCTGGTCATGATGCAGAGCGTGTCTTCAGTTTTGACGAGTACATAAGATGTGATTGTCGCTGCTTGTGGTGAGTTATTGCAGCTATCTATTTGACTACTTCCTCGAGTTCTAGTACTCAAACTTGATCGTTTCGCTCGGGTTCCGGTTATTCTGTCATCATGGCAAGCTCACTTAGCATCGCTCATGCTACGCTGGACTGGAAACGACAAAATCCACCTAAAGGGCCAGACTTCGATTGGGAGATGTACCGTTATGTTCCTTCTATGGCTGGAGCAATCGTCTGCCTCGTTGTATTCCTCGTCATGGCTCTTCTACATTTGTATCAGTTTCTTAAGTCGAGGAATCGGATTATCGTCTTTGTGGTCATCGGCGCTCTGTGTACGTTGTCCCCTTCTTGTTCCGCGTATTGAAATCATCCCTCAAAACCATCTAGGATCTTTGCTGATATATGACTATAGGCGAAGTTGGCGGATACGGCGCACGTATCGCCTCTCACTTCGATAATCAAGCCTGGGGCCCGTACATCACTCAAGGTGTACTGACACTTGTCGGTCCTCTATGGTTCGCCGCAACCATATACATGATGCTTGGCCGTACCATCAGACTCGCCGGTGGTGAAGACGTCAGTCTAATTCCAGCGAGGTGGTACACGAGGATCTTTGTCACTGCGGATGTCACAACATTGATCATCCAGGGCTTAGGTACGCGCACTCGACAAAGAAGACGATTGAATGTAAACGAGCTGACAATGCAACAGGCGCCAGCATCATGGGCACCATGCAACTCGCACTCGCGCTCGCAGGCGAAAAGATCGTCATCGCGGGCCTAGCACTCCAAGTCGCTACCTTCATTGTCTTCCTCGTCGCCTCTTTCGATTTCCAAATCCGCATGAACAAGAAAGTCGATCACCCTTCAGCAGACTGGAAGAAAATGCTATACATACTCTACAGCGTCAGTGCGCTGATCTTGTTCCGCTGCACGTTCAGACTCATTGAGTATGCGATGGGCAACGCTGCGTATCTGATCGCGCATGAATGGACTCTATACTGCTTTGATGCCGTACCGATGTTTTTGGTCCTAGTTTTGTTGCTAATTCTGCAGCCGAGTCGCTATGTTGAGGGAAACTTGGGGAAATCGCGACTGGACAGCGATGGTGAGGCTGGTGTTACGGAGAGGAAGTGATGGGTTTTGGCAGTTTGGTCAGTACTTTCAGCGCGCTTGGAGCAACTTTCCCGGGTGTCCTCTATTTTCCCAAGCGCAATACATTTTGCTTCTGCCCTTCAGTCTGCTTACAACATCATATTTTCGGTGAGTCCTGGTATGTTTGCCTGGACGCACGCAGGCGAAACGTCTCAAATGCCGTCGGCTTTGTACAGCAGGCTATAACATGTTTTCACATGCCACTAACGTCTATTGGAGTTTGACAGCCGGCTGTTGCGAAAGCTCACTCTGACCCCTATGACGTGCATGACTCGAGGTAGGTCAGATCTTAGCTCTCAAGCTTGTGGTAAGCGCACCCAGCCACATCCGGTGGCACGCCTCACGCAGCACCACCTCATGCTTCCACAAAATGTGATTCCTCAATCCATACTAGCTACACACAGACATCGAACGGGATGGCGCGCCGCTCCACCACGTTCGTGACTAAAAGGCCGCATCGCAAATCGAGGGGCGGATGCTTCACCTGCAAGAAGAAGAAAGTGAAGGTACATTCAATATTAAGAGCATGCATATAGGAACGTGGTATTGATCTGGTGTAGTGTGACGAAACGCAGCCCAAATGTGGTTACTGTAACCTCCGAGATTTGGACTGCGAATATATTCAGAATGTCCCCTCGACATCTCGGACGTCGTCCGCCGGCCCATCGTCGAGTGACGAGGGTCTACCATCTACATCCAACACTCCAGCAAACTTCAACGATCTTTCTGCCCAGTTGATACCATATCTTAGCCCACACTGCCATACATCCATAGGCACCCTCACAGCGCTCGACAGTCATCTATTGCAATACTACAGAACAGACGCCTACCGCACCGTTGTATCCTGCGACGATGCCATCATCCAGAACTTACACAAAGAGACTATACCCCAACTAAGCATCTCCAACCCATTTCTCCTATACGCTCTACTCGGCATGACAGCAACCTACAGCAACAACATGACGCCCAACAAGACGGTCGAAAAGCAAGCCCTACTCTACCGCCAAAAGACGTTCTCGACCTACAAAGAAGCCCTCAAGAACATCACAGCCGAAAATTACGAAGCCGTCCTCGTAACAGGTGGTCTTCTCCTTGCGCTCGTCCCCGGGCCAGCCACCGACACAGACGAAGATTACCTCGAATGGGTGTTCGGCCTCCTCAAACTAAGCGAAGGCCTGCGTATCCTCGCCTCCCTCCGCTGGGCCCAAGGCATCGAGAAACTCTCCGTGTACCCGTTAGTACGCCGGGAAATCAAGACGCTGCCGCCTCCCCCCATCATCGACGTGGCAGCCATCGAAGCGCCCATTGGCCCTCTGGGAACCACGCCTGATAACCCCAATCCAGCACCGACATACACGCCCATCCATCTCCCCACGCAGAACCGCCTCTTTCTTCCACCACCCCTAATGCAGCTTCTCCAAAGCGTTATCCGTGGAAAAGAGTCAGGAACGCTAGACTGGCACCGACCAACCCTTCTCCCCGTCTTCCACGCCTTATCTCCCATCTTCCTATCTCTGTATTACTACGGGCTAGACTCTGACTTCTACGTCCGCATCTTCGTCTGGACGTCCTTCCTCATGCCGGACTATCTCCAGTTGATGCGGGACAAGGAGCCAAGAGCGCTGGTTCTGTTCGGGTGGTGGTTGTCGCTGGCAAATTTAGCGCCGAAGGGGTGGTGGACGGGGAAGCGAGTACGTAAGACTATGGGGGCGATGGTGCGGGCGATTCAAGCGCAGCCTGTGGGGGATGGTGGGCTTGCAGAGCGCGTTTTGGGGAGTGCGTTGAGGATTGTTGATGTTGTTGATAGGGAGGGGAAGGAGGCGGCGGCTAAGGCGGTGTTTGACGATTGGCCTGGTGTGAGTTGGGAGGAGGGGCCGGGTAGGGCTCAGGCGTGGGAGTATGGTCAGCTGGTGGATCTGGGGAACTTGGGGGACTTAGGGGACTTGGATGGCGGCTTGGGCATGGATGCTGCTGTGGGTCTCGATCTACAGGAGCTTGGTATTTCGGTTTGAAGTTGAGCTTTGGATAGCGTTGCGCATGAATCAGCTGGCTGTAAGCCGCTTATTGTCCTATCTCGGGCGTTGTCCCAGCTGTCTCTGCAGCAACATTCTTGTTTCCTGCCTCCGAGTCTTCCTGGTCCTTCCCGCCTTTTGGCTCCCTGAGCATGCAGTATAACTTGATAGCGTCCTTCTCTCCCTCTCCATCCCTACACTCCATCTCCCTCGCCAACCGAAAGCCAAACTTCTCATAGATCGCGATATTCGGCTCACTCCTGCTGCTCTCCAGATAGCACATCCTCCCCTCTTTGTCAGCCATATCCAGCACCTCTTCCATTAATGCCCTCCCCACACCCTGTCCCTGACACTCTGGCAACACAGTAACAATATTGCAGAAGTAGTACCCCTTTGGATCCGTCCAAAGTTCAGACTGCGCTTCCGCCTGTCGCGCTTTCCAAATCCAATATCGCGTTGTACTGAGGCCGCCGCGTCCGTACCACAGGTTCATGCGTATTTGGTTGGCCCAGAGATACCAGTACGAGAGGTACAGTGACCAGGACTCGGGTTCGGACGTGGGTCGCGGGGGGAGCCACATGGCGCAGCCGAGAATCTTGGACGGGTTCGCGGTGTCGCGTGCGACGTGGAAGAGGCCATGTTCGATGCCCCAGCGGCATCGTAGGGTAAGGGATACGCGGTTTCGTGTTAGAGAGACCTGTGATGGTTAGCAATGCGCGCGAGAAGACGGTTACTGAGGTAAGTACCTTCTCGCGATCTGGAAAGACCCAGTTGTTGTAAGGGTCATTGGCGAAGGCTTGTTGTATGGTGTCGATTGCGCCGTCGATATCGGCCTCTTTCATGCGCGTTACTTGTATAGGCATTGTGAAAGGTTCTGTTGTGTTGCGGTGTTCCGAGATTCTTCGTGTCACGGCGGCAGTAGATACGAAGATAAATGCGCCAGCCTCAAAACTGGCAAACTTCGATAGCCAGCCATGATAGGTGCGGGGAGGTTTGTAGAGCTTGTCGCATGCAACATGTGGATTGGTGATGAGATGGGAAGGTCTAAGCGACAATCACGTGCATTGCGGGGCCTTCCGATGCTTATCTGCGCAGGCGCGTACGAACCATCTTCACCAATCCTACCTGCAGCTGTCTTGGCTTTGTTACACAGCTCAGCCTCGTAAAGATGTCAGCTTTCAGGAAGAAAAGCCGGGCCCTGATGCCTTGGAACCTCATGACAACGTGCCCTAAGAATGGAGACTTCCGAGCAAAGACTCAGCCGGGCCATGCGACTGCCTGACCCAACTATTGGTTTAAAACGATCCCAAACAGATACTACAGATGGTCAAGCTCAGCTGCGCCCCGGTTATCAGGCTGAAGGTGGGGTAGAGACGGCGGCAGCAGATCTGCTTCATCACCGGCCCATGCCTCCTTCGCTACAATCCAGAGAAAGACAGCAACCTACCATGCCGCCAAAGATTCGCACTTACCGCGATAGATATACCGAGATAAAGCGAAAGGCCGAGCTGACGCGAAGCGATCAAAGAGTACAGCAAAGCGATGAAGAAACCCAATATGAGGAGACCATTGGAAGTCGCGTGGCATGCATAAAAGCTCGTGTAGCAGAGCTGACGGGCAACGTTGATAGCGAAATTCCTGTTTCTCCAGAGCGTAACGAAGGAGGGCCTTTGGCATTATACACCCGTCGACATACTGCCGAGAATGTTACAAACTCCCCAAATCTACAGCCTGTGCCACGTCGCAATGAAAATTACATGGAGCCTACATATATCGACGATGCCCCAGCCGTGACACCCGTCACCGAATCCGTCAGACTGTCGACTAGACCACCATTCACGAATGAAGTCGACCTGACTCCGATTGAACAGGAACCATTTTGCAGACCGTGGTACCCTGAGTCAGTGTTACATCGCATATTATCGGAGATGGATGTTGAAAACACTCGGAGTGCTCTCGAACGCCTTGGAATTACAGATCTGTGGCTACCGCTGTCGAAACAACTACTCAAACGATTCCTGGGTGGCCCCAATCATGTCTCAGAGTTTCTGGAACTACAAGACGAACATCTCAAGGCGACTTTTGCACGTTGGACGCAGCCTGTCTCAGGAGAACACATATATGACATGATGATCAATCATTGCGAATTTGAGGACGACGAAGAGATATTTGAAGAGAATCGGCTTCTCGGCGAAGGCATGGTTGGCCTCGTCGAAGAGGTGACGGTACGATCCCGAGAACCACCCATCATATGCGTACGGAAGAAGATCGTGAGACCCAAACAGCTCAAAGCGCATCAACAACTCATGTCTGCCTTCATGCGGGAGATCAATGTCATGCGTCAAGTTGATCATCGACACTGTGTTCACTTTCTTGGGAGCTACACGGACAACGAGTCTGTCAATATTCTGTCAACGCCTGTGGCTGATATGGATCTTGCTACCTTTCTCGATGAGCCTATCGGGGATCAGGAGTGGAACATACTCTATACGGGCATCGATTGTCTCTGCGACGGGTTGTAAGTGCATGGCAACCTACCGTTTCTGTTCTTCGCCGCCGAGCCCCAGATACCAACGACGTATCAATTGCACGCTTGCTGAGCAGGTGGCACAAGTGGTATATTTTGCTAATTGTTGCCTAGATCATACCTTCATGAGAACAAGATTCGGTAAGCGCATGAAAAGCAGCCAAGCACACAACTACAAACCTCAATGCACGAGCGGTTTCAATTGCTTCGCCTGCTTTATTATCCCTCGAGAACATGAAACTGACACTACTTAGGCATGAAGATTTGAAGCCCCAAAACGTTCTTGTCCATGGTCGGAACCTGTTGCTTACCGACTTCGGTTTCAGGCAAGTGCCTGTTTCAACATCATTACTTTGGTTCTAATTGTACGCAGCTTGGATTTCTCTGATGACTCTATTTCGACAACTACCGGACGTCCATCAGCGTGGACAATCCGCTATTCTGCGCCGGAAGTCTTGGACTCTGAACCCCGCAACCGAGCAAGTGACATATTTTCTCTCGGGTGTGTTCTGATCGAGATGGTTTCCGGTCTCTACGGACATAGTCTCTCCGAAGTCAAGGATTATTGGAAAAGGACTAGCAACGGACAGTCAAGTTTCGCTCGCAATCCCGAGGCGACTTCCTCATGGCTCGCACTAATGTCGGACCATCCTGACAGCGGCAGACTCAAACCCATTGTCGATTTCTTGCCAGAGCTGCTGGTCACAAAACGCCTAGATCGACCCTTGGCTCAAACAGTCGTCGATAGACTGAGTAAGCTGTGCCTACTTTTTCCTGACCCTCCACATCTCGTCAACACCTGTTGCGGACCGCCGCCAGTGTGGATAGAAGGTCTTCCCCCTGAGCGCATCAGAGGAAGTGGTTTGCCAAAAACACGTGATCAACAGTTTTGGTCCGACCTTTACAGTAATTTCGATGCCGTCAAAGACAGAGAAATGACCTACATCATACTCGACCAGTATTTCGAACAAGTTGCTACGAAGCATGACTGTTACTCCTCTATCTGGGATGTTCTCCGCGACAGCGATATACCTTCAATCAAAGCTACATGCGACATGCTCTTCCTCCAATCCGATAAGACAAAGCCGTTACTAGATCACTTGAACAGCCAGGCTGTTGCATCAACAACACTCGACCTAGACCATGTGCTGCCGCAAGTGCTCGAAACGTATACCGCGTGGCAGGCTATATTCACAGCGCTGCGCGTACAGATTTTCACTCCCGAGACGCAATGGGCATCGACAGATGTACAGCGTTTTCAATTGAATGGACTCTTAACTGTGCAACGTACGCGAACAGTACAAATCTCCATGGTTGGTCACGGCCGTTGTGCAGGCGACAATCACTTCTTCAGTTCCGTATTCTACGTGTTGGCATTCAAAGTTTACAGTGAAGGTTACGAGCCTTCTAAACTGGGTGCGCCTTTCGTAGACCTGAGTGTGACGACACCTAGCTGATTTGTTGATGATGACGGGTGTTGCTTACGACGCATATCCCAAATTGTTGCAGTGGTGTTAAAGTTGCATACGTAATGGAGGACTCAGCCGATAATCACGCCGACGATATACTGAAGTTGCGACGTGCGGCTTCCAGGGTACAGGAACAGCTTATAGGACAGCGCATCAACTAGACGAAAGCGAAGCATAGGGAAAGCTGACCAAGGGTGGGGACAAGTCTCGACATATCATGCCGTCAAGCCATTCGTAATATAGTCAGACCAATCTTGATCATCATCTCCTGGACTATGTATTACACAAATTCGCGGCTCCAAAGCCGAAACCACAAGCTGTTAGATTAGAGTGAATGTCCTCATTGGCTTATGCTTAAGAGATAGCACGATGTCAGTACATCATGGATGGCTTTTTGCCTTGATGATGTCAGGTTATGTTGTTGGCTTGGTGAGTGCGGTCTGCACGCAGTCTTGATCACCTTTGGGCCACATCATCACACCTAAACATGTTGCCGCATTCTATGTCCGGCAGGATGATTCGTTACTAGTAAACTCTAGGCCATTACCACATCAAGGGACTCTTGTGGACGAAAAGGAAAGGGACCAGGTGAGTAGAACTGATGGTGTGCGGAACTCAGGTGTCAAAGGCAAATGTGCAGCATGAGCAGCGATCCAAACAGTGCACATAGAGTCGCAAGGTCCAATTGTAACTCCTATGTGGTAGTGACCTGACGAAGTAAGAAACTAGCCATCACCCATGTTCCACACGCTCAAAAGTACGCTGCGCATCAAGCGTACGCTTTTTGTGTGACTCAAAAACCTAGATGCGCAGACGCATGCTTACCTTTTCCCTTAACCAACATCACGACGAATCAAGCAACCAAGAAGCTGCATGATTGCTTTTCGTGACCAAGACATTCCGCTTCCGCGATAACGCTCATACACACGCAGCACACACACATCGTGATAGTTCTACACACGAACCCACATACTCACCGCTCGAACCCAAAAGCCCATACTCACACATGCGCTTATGTCAACATGTTCGCACAAAGCAAGCCCCGCACTACACTACAGCACACTACCCCAACCCCAGCCCAACGTCTATTCGTCATGGGATCGACAGTCCTGCATGGCCTGGTCAGTCAGCCTACCGAACCCAGTCCAGCCCAGTCCGATGACACCCTCCCGCACTGTGCGCGGGCGAAGCGAGTGAGCATGAGCGGTTCCGGATAGCGAATGCGAGTATGCATGGGAGCTGGTAGACCTGTTTTGACCGGGCCGTTGTTGGGTTGAGAGTCGATGGTTGATGCGGGTGTGTGGCATGACATGTGTGGCGAGGAGGCGCTGCTTTTTTGTTCCGGGGGGCTATGCTATGCGATGCTCTGAGTCTGTCGTGATTGATGTGGCGAGGGACATGTACATGGTCTTCGTACTTGGGCTGCGTAGTCGGCCCGCTGCGTACATGTATGTGTATACTTATCGGTGGATGGAGGTGACCGGCGTTGTTGATACGAACGTCTATCGTGTTAGGTCTATTGAATATTTTTTGGTGGTGTTAGGACATGAGTAGGCACATGATGTCAACGTCCGAACGTCGGCATTTTCCTCCTTTGCGATCAACATGTCGACGATCTCTGTTCAACATCTTAGGCTCTCGCTTACGGCGATGTAGTATACCGTGAGAAATCAGCTGATTCGCCGGGTTATACAGCCTTGTGTCCGGCTTTTTCCTTGAACCGTGGCGCTGTAAAGGTTAGGTATGAGGAGCAGGCAGCCAACCTTGTTCGGATATAGAGCATGGATGCAAGCGCGAATACGGAATGAGACGGGTTGGATACTTCGTGAGCTTCCGCTTAAAGGCACGATTATCGGCGTTGCATCCGTAGCGACGATCCGGAAATTCTTGGTTCCGAAATGTTACCTGGCATTTTAACATGCACATGGAAGGCACAGTAAATAGCAATAATATCCCAGGGTGCTGAGGCAGCAGAACCAGGCCGTGTTGCAAGATGCATCTGCCGGAGGACAAGCGGAGACGGGTACTGTACGCAGCGCAGCATAAGTGGGCAGCTAACAAGACGCAACTAGAGATTCGAAAGCGAGAACCTGAGCCATCCTTGGATCATCGTGGTACTTGTTGATCAACTGAGAGAACGTAGCCTCCGCAAAGTCGAGACCATCCGTATGACAGCGTATAGCGCCTGCATGTACCCTTGAACTGTAAAGGGTGGGTAACTATAAGGGCAGATAGTACCACTTGGTGTGCATACAGGCGACCCGCTGGCGGCCGACGATTCAGTGTTGGGCAGTCAGGCAGCCAGTACGTGGGAGTGCGAGAGCGATCGGAAAGAGCGGAAGCAGGAAAAAAAGTCGATGAAACGCAGTCCGGAAAGTTAAGCCACCGTGTTGTGTGGTGCGGGTAGTCCTTGAGCGGTCTGTTTGGGGCAACTCCAGGTCATCCTAGGCACCGGATTACTGTTAATGCTAGTAGCCAAGAGGGGTGGTGTTGCGAATGCGGGCGCTGATGGAGCGCGTACTAGCCGCATCGCCGTGAAAACATCGGTGTGTTCGACAAAGAGGCAAGCCGGGGCTGCCGTGGTCATCAGACAGGCTGGGAGGCAGGTGCGAAGGCGGCAAGTCGGGCAATAAGCGACGTGCGTGTACTCTACGCAGAAACCGATCTATGTCCTGGGCGCCCAAGAATAGGGCGTTCAATTTGCTGAGACGTACAAATCAGGACCATGCAGGTGTGACTGCTTCTGCGCATAATCGTAGGCGAATAAAGAAGGTACTTCGGGTCGTCGCTCAGTGGTGGAAGTGGACTTTTGGGATCGCCGCGTAAGCACAATTTAGCCTAGAGCATGTCTAGAATAAGAAGATAGGCGATTTGCCGATCTGGTGAGGTGGAAAAATTCATGGCGCATGCATGGCATCCGTGGGCCCGTTTGCACCGTCATACACCTGACGGGGAACTACTTGCATAGGAGCTTCCGTAAGTGAGTCTCAGTTGGCAACTCAAGGATGGTCACCTCCACACAAAGGACGGCCCTTGTCAGCAGTGATGCACGCAGTAGTACCGAGCCTTGGATTGCATTTGACACATCGCCTGATGTAACAGCGGCCGAGTGCATGACTGGCGGGCACCAAGTTGTGTCTTACAAACGAATAGCAACTGCTATATAGGGTTCCGACTAGGGGTGTGCTGCTGGAATATTAAAGCGGAGTGCAATTGCCGGATTGGTGCGTAGTATTACAAGACTGAGATCGGTGGTGTAACTGTAAGCGGTAAGCATAATGCTAGAGGTGGCCCGACCTCGGATATTCTATGTGGCAGACGTGCTGATCGAGAAACTTTGCTCTATATTAGCTGCCATGTCGACACAAGTTGCAGCAGCAAGCGCCTCAATACACCCTGATTCATGATGACGGCCGGATCCATCGCTCCTCAGGATGCATTGTTGTATTGGATTTGAGGCGGTTGGTGGCAGCTAGGTACCGAACCTAAAGAGGTGCGACAGGCAAAAGGGTCGCGGTGGAGCGGCAGAAGGAAAACAAACGCTCGTACTGCGTGAAACCGAGTCACCGCCGGGCCCTGGTAAAGTGGAGAAGATTTTGCGGAGATGCAGGCTGGCTTCAGCTGCTGCGTCGTAAGACAATTAGCATGGGATCGCCCGACAGAAGTTTCATCAGTTGCGCGCTCGGGTGAAGCGAAGGTACAGACGTGTACACGATACCCACGGTCCGGCATGCTCGTGCGGCAGTCTTGGCTAGGTAAAAGTGATGCAGAGTCATGGCTTCTTCTTGTTAATGTACCAGCAACTTGTACACACAAGCGAGTCAACGGCTGTGAGCTGGCACAATGGCGGTCTGACTGGTCAGACTCGTACCCCGGCTACGAGCGCATATCGTG